AACCTGAGCCTTGGTAGGCTGCGATCTCAGGGAAAACCGATTGTCCTGGTAAGGGGAACTTAATAAAATGATTTCTAATAATGTCTGCTGTACTCATAGATCAGCGTCTCACTTAGCCATCACCAGAGGAGCTTCCTCCTGCAGGAGATGGGAACCGACACAGAGACTCACAAATGGACAGTGTGAAGAGAGTGGGAGACACGGAAGGCTCGGTCCTAAATGGGATGTCTCCATCAAGCCTATCCCCTCAGGGCTCAGGAAACTATGCAGAAGAGGAGAAGGGAAGACCCTAAGAGCCGGAGGGCATGGATGACACTGAGTAAACTGTTTTCCAGACAACAGGACTGACACAATATGAACTCAACAGAGACTGCAGCAGCATGCTTATGGCCTACATGGGTCCAAAGCAAACGAGGCTCCTAAACTAAGATGAGGAAGCAGACATGCGCTCCCATCCCCACCCAAGAAGTTATCTCCAGGTGGCGTCTGCTCACAAAGGAAAAAGTAGTTGCTCCAAGGGAGTCTCACTGGGCATACAAACCACACTTAAGGGCAGGCCACATGTCCAGCAGTAGGTGGTATTACACTCAAAGGTATTATTATTTTGGTTTCACATTGCTCTGTGTGGGAATTTTTTTAAACACTACTGATTGTTTGCTTGTATTTTATGGTTTCTGATTTTGTGTTTTTCAAGGGTTGCATGCGTTGTGCTTGCACATATATATATATATATATTTCTTGTGCTTTTTCTTTGCTCCTTTTTTTGTTTGTTCATTTTGTTCTATTCTCTTTAAAATGTGCTTGTTTAACTAACAGAGAGAGAGAAGGAAGACATGGAGTTGGAAGGGTGGGGAGTAGGGAGGATCTGGGAGGAGCTGAGGGGAGGAAGCGTTGATCAGAATGTACTATATAACTTGTTTCGGTTAAAAAAAGAGAACAACAGAAAAAACAACAAATTCCCATTTGTTTTCCCATCTATCATATAGAGTTTATCTGCTAGTGAGATGCCTTCTATCCTGAAGTTTTAGGGACACTCTAGTGTAGAAAAATCATCAACAAATAAATGTCTAGGCGTCTGGCGCCAGTCTCCTTGATCGGCGGCCATCTTGTTCTGGCAAACAACTGCTCTCAGCAATGTCAGGTGGCAAATACACCTTCCTCCCTTTCCTTACTTGTCAGTAAGGGCCCTGTCACCGGGAGTAGGGCCAAGGACATCGCCCAATGTTCTCAAAATCGTCTTTCATGCATCACGGATACATTGCCGCCTGAACCCACTGGCTCTGAAGAATCTCCAAACCCCCATGGACTTTCCTTGTCAGTTAGACATGACTGAATCCTGGCGCCAGGTTTGGATTGCATCATCAAAGCAGATGAGGAAATGAAGACTAGAGATTCACGTAACTTTCTTAAGACCTCACAGTCTGAGTCTAGTGCCAAAACTAGAGTTAAGTCCTAATCCCACGATCTTGATTCTCTCTGGCGTGGTCTGTCCTCGATCACAAACAAGGGCTTGCAGTAGTAGTCACTGCTCACTGTATGTCCTTGTCCTCCTCCCCTCTGGGGTTTATTAAGTCACCTTCTGCTCGGTTTCCATGGAGAAGTATGTACTGGGCACCCCTAGCTGCTCTTCCCACGAACCTATCATTATTTCCATGTTTGATGACACAACAGGAATGTCTGGGTTACAGCAAAGAGTAATCTTAGTCAGTGCTACTGGATGTGGGAAACTCTGACTGATCCTGAAATCCCCAATAACCTGGTCATCCTGTTCCGGTCCTCAGCCCCAGCCTAGACACACGGCCTTGAATTCTCCTTGGTTTTCCCTGTGTGTAGCCTGTTGTTCATTGACACGGTGTATGTCCCTCCTATCCCGTTCCAGTGATACGACATCTGTTCTTCTTTTCCATGTGTGAACTCTTAATGGTCCCACTCTAACTGAACCAGCTCTGCACATCAGATTAGGAAACTCTTTGTAGCTGGAAGAAAACTGCACACTAGCTTGTCTTTGCCCTAGGGGATTAATTCCCAGAACTCTGGAGTCAGATGCCTGACCACTCTCTTTGATGGTATTCTAATATAACACTGGCCATCCTTTTCAAGTGCTCAGGAAAGTGAGTTTTCAGGCTGGACATCTTTATAGGACTAGCTAAAAAGTGTGTGTGTGTGTGTGTGTGTGTGTGTGTGTGTGTGTGTGTACCTGCAAAGGCCAGAAGAACTGGAGTCACATTGAAAGCTGCCCACTGTGGGTACCGGGAACCAAACCCTGGTCCTTGGCAAGAGCAGCAAGTCTCGTAACTATAGAACCATCTCTCTGGATCCCAGGCTGGACTTCATACAGATCTTTTTGTCTCGATGGACCCCATCTCTCTCTGCCTGGCCCCTGCTCTCTGCTTGTTTTTTTTCTCCTAACCACTCATCTCCACACTGAGTTCTCTTTCTCGCACCAGAAACAAGAATCTGGTGATTTGAGAACCGAATCTCCTTTTCTTGAGCAGTGTCTGGCTCATGGTTGGTGTTCAGAAAGTGCCTCTTGATAGGATGGCCATGAGGTTCATAGCCTTGGGAGTCAGTGCCAGAGCCCACATAGGAAGGTGATGAGGAGACCAGTAGTTTCTGTTTCTCTGATGTCACAGATCCCAACTGCCTCAAGGCTGCCAAAGAGGATTTCCAAACTTCCTCCATCCTCCTAAAGCCTGGCACCACACTAGAGTCTGTGGAGAAGAGAAGGCTCCAGGCAGTCTGTAATCAGGGTTAGCCTCAGGTGGTCTATTATCTAGGCTAGCCCTGCTGAACATGTGACTTCCGAGTGCAAGCTCTCCGAGTGCAAGCCTTCAAGCCTCAAGAGTGGGGCTGTGTGCAGGGTTTCTCAGAAATGAGCCTGCTTACTCACATCCCTAGTGCCCAGTCCAGTGCAGAGCAATTGTGAAGGAGCTTATCAATATCTGATAAATAAATGAAGCCCTGGGATTCCACAGGCTGACAAAGCCAACCCTTCTGAATCCATGGACTGACTCCAGGGAATGGGGAGCTTATTTCCTCTTCTTGGGAGCAGTGATTTTTTTTTACAAGTTTTTTTTTCAATTCTGAAATTGAAAGCTTCATACATTGTAAATTTCAAAATATTCCATATGGAATAACACTCTTTCCAAAAGAATCAGCATGCATTTTAGGGTTTTCTTCCCTAGCTACCCACTTTTTACTAACTAAAGAAAAGATTATGAGTGCTGCACGTGCTGAAAATAAAGGCTGTAAAGATGGTTCACCGGATAAAAGTGCTGGCCTGGAAAGCCTTGGCAACTTGGGTTCATTGTCTGGAACCCATGGGAAAAAGCTGGATGCAAGGGTTCACATCTGCAATCCTAGCACTTCTGATAGGAAGCACGGATTGGCGCATTCCCCCAAAAAGCTGGATGGCCAGCTAGCTGGAGTGTCCTGCAAGACACAAGCAGTGAGAGTTCCTCATTCCAACAATGTGGAAAGCATGTATAATCCTCTTAATGTGTTCTTGAATTTGGTTTGCAAGTGTTTTGTTGAGAAGTTTTGTATTGGCGCTCATCAAAGTAATTTGTTTGTAGTTTTTTTTTTCCCTTTTTAGTGTGTGACTCTTCACCTACTTTTCCTATGAGAATGGCACTCGCTTCAGAGAATTAGTTTGGTAGTGTTCCTTTGCTTTCTGTTTCATGGGACAAGGTAAGAGGAATGAATAGACATGGGTCTTTAGAAGTTTGATGGAATTCAGCAGTGAAGCTGTCTGATTTTGGGCTTCTCCTTGAGGAAGAAGAGTTTGTGTTTTTGTTTTTTTTTTTCTCATTGCTAGTGATAGGGCTGTTTAAGTTGTTTGTACCTTCTGGGTTTAATTTTAGCAGGTTGTATGAAATTAGGAGTTCTTCTGCTTCTCCCATGTTAGTCCACTTTTTGGAGTGTAAGTCTCCATAGTAATTTCTGATAACGTTCCACATTTCATTGGCATCTGCTGTTACGACACTTTTTTGGTCTCAGATTTTTTCATTTATGTCTTCTCTCTCTTTTTTTGTCAGATTTGTTAAGGGTTTGCCAATCTTAATCAACTTTTTTTAAAGAACCAACTGTTGGGTTGGTTTTGTGTATTACTCTTTTAATCTTGACTTTATTAGCTTTTCCATTACCTTTATTATTAGTTGCTTTTTTTTTCTGGGAGTCTTGAGGGGCATCATTAGGTTGTTTATTTCATACCTCTCACATTTTTTTTTTAACATGAGCACTTACTGCTATAAATTTTCCTCTTAGGACTGCCTTGGCTGCATCCCACAGGTTCTGACAAGATTTTTATTATCAATAATCTCTAGGAATTTTTAAATTTCTCTCTGATTGTTCTTTCAAAATGCATTGTTTATTCCTCCAATAATTTTGTGCCTTCTATAGTTTCTATTATTGTTGATTTCCAGTTTTGCTGTGTTCTGATAGGACACATGGAATTGTCTTCAAATGATATTTGTGTCCAATGATATGCTTGATTTTGGAGAAGGTACCATGGGTTCTTGAGAACAATATGTAATTCCTACCTGCTTGGGTGGAACATTACATATGTATCTATCAAGTCCACTTGCTCCTCATTTGTTTTAGCTCTGAAGTTTCATTGTCTGTTTTTAGTTTGGAAGGTCTGCCTACTTAAACATGAGAGCGGAGTGTTGAAGTCTCCCACTATTATTGTGTCAGAACCTAAGTAGTCTCTTATGTCTCTTCGTGGTTGTATTTTTATAAAATTAGGGCTTCTGATATTTGATTCACAAATGTTTACAATCATCATATTTTCTCGTCGAGGTGTTCCTCTTATTAATATGTGGTGTCCCTTTTTAAATAATGTTTTGTTTGAAGTTTGCTCTGTGCTATAAGGATAGCTACACCTGCTTGTTTATAGTTTCCATCTGCTTGTCCAAACTCTCCTGAAACCTAGTGTGATTTCTCCTCTTTCGACTCTACTTGCTTCTACCACAACTCAGACTTGGTTTCTGCTCTCACAGCCCCACCGAATGAAACCAGCGTTGCATAGCCTACCAATGGCTTCCTCATTGCCAAGCTGAATGGACATTTTCCAGTGCTCATTTGTTTGACATCATTGGCGTTTCTCACTCAACAACTACTTCCACAACCTGGAGAAATGTATGATAACGTGTGGCGCTGTTTCCCTCCTTGATCCTCATCCCACTTCATCTCTTCTCAAAAATCTCTTATCTGATCATGAGAAACTGAGATTTGATATTCTACCCCCCCACCCCAAAACCATGTACTCTGTGGCCACCTGAGCCCTGCCCCCATTTCAGAGACCACCTTCTGTGGAATGTTCCCTGTCGGACAGGTATCTATCATCGGAAACTTTCCTGGAGACATTCACCTGGATACTCTACAGGCACATCCAAAATATGTTCAAAGCATCCTGTCTTCTTCTCAAGTCAATTAAAGGGATTAAAAAAAACCTGAATGACAGCAGTAAATGATATTCTTATATATGAAATCACATAAGGTAAAACAAGGGAATCCTTGTTTATTCCCATTTCCTCCCTTTTCCTTTGCCCTCTGTGGTAAAACCTTGTACTGGCAGCTAGTATTCTAGGCATCTGCCCAAAGAAATGGGGATGAATGAACTAATGGGATTCCAAACATTAGTACTCTTTTTTCTTTTCTTTTCTTTTCTTTTTTTTTTTTTTTTTTTTGGTTTTTCGAGGCAGGGTTTCTCTGTATTGTTTTGGAGGCTGTCCTGGAACTCGCTCTGTAGACCAGGTTGGCCTCGAAGTCACAGAGATCCGCTTGCCTGTGCCTCCAGAGTGCTGGGATTAAAGGTGTGCGCCACCAACGCCCGGCTTAAACAGTAGGTCTCTTTTAATTCAAGTCTGAAACTTGACATCATTTTACCTCTCAGGACTTTTTTTCATTTACACAAGGGAGTCCACAGGCCTGATCTTTGTCTTCAACAATCTATGATTCCACAAACTCCATCCTGACACTACGTAATCACCCATCATTCCTTCTTTTCCACTTCCTGCCACCCCGCCTCCTTCAGCAAGAGAGAGAAACCAGGGCTTACAGCTGGCCCCACCTACTGAATACATTTCACGCTGGTGAGGGGTGCCCAGGTGTGAAAAATAATGAAAGTGGGGGCAGGGTAAAGGGGGCAAGTTGTTTCCTTCTTTTCCACTTCCTGCCACCCCGCCTCCTTCAGCAAGAGAGAGAAAATAGGGCTTACAGCTGGCCCTGCCTACTGAATACATTTCAGGCTAGTGAGAGGTGCCCAGGTGTGAAAAATAAAGGGGGGAAGTTGTTTCCTCTAGGAGATCCCTTCAGGCCTTGCCTTTCCCTAAAGGCTACTCACACAGAAGCACCCTTCCTCTTGTGCTGCTGGTTCTGATTGGATATGGAGTGCCTTTCCGCAGCAGGCCTGGCGCTAAGCACTGGGTACTGCCCGCTCCTCGTTTGAATCCCAGGACTCTAGGGCCCAGGCCCTGTCTTAAACTCCCTTTCACAGACCAGGAAACCAGACTTCACCAAAGAGAATCACAGAATCTCGAGGTCAAACCAGCCTATTCTGGGTCCAAGCGCAGAGCCACTGTGATTACAAAACCTACCATATCCATACTTCTCTTTTGCAGACCGACGTGCATTGCGTGCACAGTCTCCAGAGGCCTGGTAAGTGACCAGGAAACTGTAAGTGACCAGGAAACGTGCCGTTACCATCCAGATCTGGTCTCAGCTTCCAGAATTCAAGGACATAGCTTTGACTCTCAGCTTCCTCAGACATAAAAGGGAGGCGTTATGCTGTTATGCCTTTAGCACTGGCAGCGTCCCCAACATACTGTCAAGAAACCTGAGGGACAGCAGTTCACAGCAAGCGCCCCTAGCAGCCTAGTTGACCCTGGAGCCTTCCTCTGCTGTCCTGGATGCCGCCCTCTCTGCACGCATGCTCCAGCAGGTCACCCCGTAACCCACCATCTGGCCTCTGCATGGCCTGAGAAAGTCATGGCTCCCAGCAGGGATAAAGTTCATCCTGCCAAGAACCCTCAGGCTCTTGAGCAGGGAGGCGCCCAGCCCAGCACTCGTTAGCCAGGCCAGAGCCTCTGTCTGGCCTCTGGGAAAGCTGCTCCTAGAGGAGCATGTTCCCCTCCTCTGCGCAGCTGTGCACTGGACCGCTGGACGTGCAGGACCGCACAGGAGAGGCTCGTCCCATCTGTCTCCCCAGTCACAGAGGGAAATGCTCTCCAGGTCCCAAGGCCTGGGCTGGGAAGGGAAGCACAGTCAAAGCCCTGCTATCTCAGCAAGCTAGGAAGAATCTCCTCTCAAAAATGATACTGTGGATTAAAATGAATGTTTTTAAGGTCACCAAGGACTTTTATCCAGACTGGGGGCCCACTAATGGAGGGGTGGAGTCCTGATAACCTAATGCTAAGCCCCTGAAAGGCGTCTGCAAAGTGGCAGACCCTCCATTACTGCACGGGGGGGGGGAGGGTGTGTGTGTGATTTTTGGGGGAAGCTATTTTTTTTTTTTGCAGTGTCTGAAACAGACCAGGTGACGAGAAAAAGAGAGAGTAAACTTTTCCCTTGCATATTCTGTCTGTTTATTGTCCATTCACTTGCAGAGACCTTGGGCAAAACTGAAGCCTTTTCTTCGTCGAGATCGGGAAGGAAAAAGATCCTAATCAAGACGTTTCCCAAACAGTGATCGTAAGTGAGGCATCAACGTTCTGAATTTGTGCATCTAGGTACCCTGGGTTTTCCCTTCCATTTATGAAGCCCAAATTATGGGTTGGCTCAGTTTCCCTGCTCTGGGAACATGGGACACGGCCTCTGCAAGACTTGGGAACTTCAGCGAGCTGGAGGAAACAGCAAAGGGAAGTTCTTCCAGGGAGACACAGGAACCTGCTCAGAGACACCCTTTACTGTCAAGGAGGGTCCTGTTGCAGCTTCACATCTTGAATTTTTAAACAGAGCTTTTCACCTCTTGGTAAGTTCTGAAAAGGGACAAGGTCCAAGGAAGGTCATGACTCTGGGCAGAAAGGCCCCTACCTGGGTTTTCTTTTGTCAACACCCTGGGGTGGGGGGAGAAAGAAGCACTTCTAGAAGACTCGTAGGGTGTGTGGGGGCAGGGTGGGGTATCTTTGCTAATATCAATTCATTTCACACCAGCCAGCTTACTTTGATTTGGTTTAACTAATTTCAATTTCTTTCCAAATCCTAAAAAAAAAAAAAAAGGATCTGGGAAAAAGAGAAACAAAATAATTTTAAAAGTTAAAACAAGTCCAAGTCATCATCCGTAAGGTTTGCTTAGGTGAGGTATTGGGGAAGTCTTTTGTCAATAAAGCACTGTTGAGCCAATAGGAATCTAGATAGGTGGGACTAGGAGTCCAGGAGGATTCTGGGAAGGAGAAACACAAGAGAGTCAACATGTAACCGCCATGGGGTAGGAGCCCGGAACTATTCTCTGGTAAGAGACATACTTAAATTAACAATTATGGGGTAATTACTTAAAGCAGAGCTAGCCAGTAAGAGACAAGCAAGGCCAACAGCTTCATAACTAATATAGCCTCCTGTGTGTTTATTTGGGACTGATGCGGCTCTAGAACCAGGCTGGCGGGAAGGCTTCTCTCAAGGAAAAGGTTTCCCTTAACAGTGAGGACTTAACAGTTCTTTAAAAAAAATTTCTTTTTAATTTAAGGGTTATGGGGATGTGTACACACAAATACCACAAACCCCCCAAAACTTCACCAGAAAGGAAAAAAAAAAAACTTCACTTAACTACGTCATCACTAAGATGTACCAGATCAAAACAAGTGCGGGGTGGGGTTAGGGAGGGTGAATGAGAAGCAGGCTCTGGAAGCTTGCAGTATGCCTCATCCATGACTAATCCTCCAGAGATGAGAAGAAAGCAACCCTTGCCTTCTGACGAGGTAACAGGAATTGACTACTGCAGCCAGGCACCCCTGCCCCCAGGAGCCACAGCCTCATAGGGTCCAATACAGCTCAGCTCTTAGACATCTACTCACTTCTTTAAGAGGCAAGTGAAAAGGTGAGCATACAATCCAGGGGCTCTTCCTCAGCATAGACCCCAGTCTCTGTATTATCTGCACGTCAGTTATTTCTAGTCATGTGAGAAAAGACCCCAAATCATCATTATTGTGTTTGTTTAGTTTTTTTTCAAATGCAGAACTTCCTGTTTAAATGGATGCAAGCCCCAAGAAGACTTTCAGACCACTGTAGAAAAAGTGGGGGCAGAGCTAACCTCACACACCTGGGCGGGGGTCAATTCCACAAATGGCCCATGACTACCTGGGATACACAGCACATCTCAAATGTGGGTTAGTGATTCCTATCCTCAATCCTTTTCATTGGCCTGCCACTCTGCATCCATGGCAACTACATCCAGGTTTAGAAATCAGGGAACCTGGCGTGTGAGGGAGATTAGGTCTCACAGAAGATGAATTTCAATAATCTGCCATGGTCTTCTATCAGAGTTCATCTTCGTTTTTTAAGAAGCAAGATCTACACTATATGGGGTTAGTTTTTCTCTTCCGCTGCTTCTTACTGCTATAGTAAAGGGGAAAGTTCCGGAAGTGGCAACTTAATTTGTATCTAATTTCAGCAAAATAGTTGCAGACTGTTTCCAGCTTGAATGAGCAGTGAGGTGCGGTTCCCAGTAGTTGCTTATTTTAGTAGCACTCCCTCAGGATGAATGCTAACTATTTTCAGTTGCGTGTGGGAAAACCATGGGCGCTGCCAAGCTGTGGTAAGTTGGCATCCTGTGCGTGAGCTGTCAACCAGATTCCACTCAGATTCATTTCTAATTGCAGTTGGCATATGATCCCCCACCCCACACACACTTTATTCCGTTTGGGATCCTGCTTACCTCTTTCTCTGATGTCCCACCTTCCCACCCATCTCTACCCCCCACAGGCAGCTTTTGGCTGACTCTGCCTCATAATAGCAGTGTGAGTGCCAAGTGGGTTGTTTTATAAAATCCTTAGCAAGAGGTATGAAATGAAGCACATTGCCGAGAACTCACAGGGACCAGAGTGCACCCATCGACAAAAACTACCTACTACACAGTGAAATTATGCAGTTGTCTCTATAACTTATGCAGCACAGAGTGATGCTGAGGTGAGACCTTCAACGGCTCTTGGTACATGCACTGCACAACCTCTAAAATGCTGCCCAGTAACCATCCTTTGCTGATGTTCCCTCTTGTGCGGCTTCCTGGTGAACATCGGGATGATGTGAGCTACCATATGGATAGATCCATGTGTTAAGGAACTGCTGTTTGTAACCAGAACACACGGTTGGCCTGGCACGTGATGCTCACTCTCTAGAACAACGGGTTGACCTTTGCCCTGCTTGGCCTCTCATCAAGAGCCCGATGATCACTAATCAACGTCTGGATTCTGGACACACAGAGTCATGAGCTTAATGGTCTTAAGCTCCCCAGTTTGGGGGGCAGTTGATAGCAACAGGCGGTTAACACAGTGTAGACCTGATGGTGGAAGTCCTTCTGTGTATATGTTTGTCTTACTGGCTGATAAATAAAGCACTGGTGGCCAACAGGGAAGCAAGATAGGTGGGTACAGGAGTCGAGGAGGATTCTGGGGAATGTAGTCAAGAATAGAGAGTCTTGTGAGCCCAGAACAAGTCTGGTGCTCTTGGTAAGATCAGACCTTATAAAATATATGTATTAGTAATTATGGGTTAATAATTAAGTCAGAGCTAGCCATTAAGAAACCATAGCAAACAGCCAACAGCTTCATAATTAATATAGCGTCCTGCGTGTTCATTTGGGACTGACGCGGCTCTGGGACCGGGCTGGCGGGAAGAATGCACGTCACAAGTCCCCAAGCGGGTAATTAGAACTCTCTGTAGGGCCCACCAGAATGCGAGTCTCACTTTCTGCTACAGCCTCTCCTTTGCTCCCGTGACTCCTTCTGGCCAGGCCTTTTTCTCAGACGTCTTTACAGGCATTCTTCTGTCCGGTGTCACCAGCTTCCTCTTCCCCACGGGACGGATTCTGGCTTGAAACCTGTGCCCTCTGGAGAACCTTCCATTCAGAACCAGGTACCACTTCTGGCCCATTTAGGGGTCTTCGTGGCACTTTGCCTCTGCCTACGCTGAGTACACCACACATACTGTTTTTATGATAGTTGCCTTGCTCCATTATTTTTATTACTGTCACAAAGTGCCTGGGCCTGGGTGTAGGAGGAAGCCTGTATGCCGCCATTAACCATGTGACTTACTAGAGGCGCATACAGATGAGGTAATAAAAGGGCAGTTTACCACACCGCTAACCACACCCACTTTAGGCATGACTAAAGACGTATACGGCCGGACGTAAAGATGTATACGTACGTAGGCGGTGAACTACGTCACTAGCCAGGCCCACTTTTGGGCATGGCTAGGGCGCGTTATGGGGGGAAGGCATAAAAGACAGCACACAGGAAGCCTTGGTCTCTTTTCCCGGAGTTCGGCTTCCGGTTCGGCAGCAGGAAAACTACTTGGCTCATCTGGGTTACTTGTTTGGTATCTTGTGAGTAATTTCTACAATAAATACTTAGTTTTACTTTCAGTAAGTGTGTCGCTTATCGTTACAGCGTCATTTGGAGCCTCACCTGGGTACTTAACAAGGAAAGTGCATCCATTCATCTCACAATTTGAGGTGCTCCAGAGCACAGTACCATCATCAGCACCCGATGAACCACATCAGCAGCTCTGTTTCTGACAGTCTATAATTCCCAGAAGGCAGAAGGCTACGCCGGCTCCCACGTCCTGATGTCCAGAACAGTGTCGTGCTAGAACACTACACCTGGAGTGGATCAACCATTAATTTTCCAAAACAAGGATGCCAGGTAGAAGGGGGCGCCTGGTAACTAATTCCACGCTCACACAGTGTGCGCAAAGCATTTGGTAGCAGTCTCCTTTGGTTTACTGGGTAATTCGTCATTTCGAGCATTCAGCTGCTGAGGGAGGCTCCAGGGCTGTAAGGCTCCCTCAGTCTGATGCTGGCCCCCGTCAGTTAGCGTTTGAAGGTTGGCAGTTCTATAATCTGCCTTGACATCATTTCAGTCTATGCCTTTGCAGCTGAAGTAGCCCAGGCATCACAAATACTCGGGCTCTTTGCTTTTAGAGAAAGCTTGAAAGAAAATATGAAGGCATTCATAGGAACTAGCTCAATGGACATCTTCGGGCACACACTGAAGGCAGGGGGGGGGGCTGTTTGTGTCTCAGATGGTGATCAAGGACACAAAGAAAAAACCTGTTGATAGAGCATACAGGTGTGAACTACACCTACCTGTTCTACCACCAAACAAAGGTTCTTTTCCTAGTGCACGCTACCCTAACAAACAGCTTTCAAATGGGCTTACCTACACTTACTTGGGACCCTCCCCAGGCTCTTTCCACAGAGCAGTCATTCTGAAACACGCTATCATATATATATATATAATTTAAATGAGAAACATGCTCCTCCTTTATCCCTCTACTGGCTCTCCCAACTCCCCTCCCAATGCCCACACATTCCCCAGGGAGGGTGAGGCCCTCCATGGGGGATCTCCAGAGTCTGTCACGTCATCTGGAGCAGGGCCTAGGCCCTAACCCATGTGTCCAGGCTGAGAGAGCATCTTTCCATGTGGAATGGGCTCCCAAAGTTCATTCGTATGCCATGGTGAACACTGATCTACTACCCAAAGCCTCAGAGATTGCTGAGGCCTCCTCACTGACCCCCACATTCAGGGGGTCTGGATCAGTCCCCTGCTGGCCTCTCAGTCATCAGTCTGGAGGCCATGAGCTCCCCCTTGTTCAGGTCAGCTGTTTCTGTGGATTTCACCAGCACGGTCTTGACCCCTTTGCTCATCACTCCTCCCTCTCTTATCACTGGGTTCCATGAGTTCAGTTCAGTGTTTAGCTGTGAAACACACTATCTTATTGTCTGTCCAGTTTAACACTCTCTGGGGCTTGTCCTGGGTCTAGCCTGGAGCATCCATCCTCTCATTAGCTGCGTTGTCTACTGGTTATGCTTGCTGTATTTCACGGCCTTGAGGACACAGGTTTTGTCCCACCTCAGAGAGCGAACATGATCTTTGGGACCTAGTTGATCCTATTGTGCCTCCAGATTTCATATCACTCATTCTACAAAGACTTTTCCTGGCATTCCCTATTAAATCAATCCATCTTACTCCGCACATAACACACACACACACACACACACACACACACACACACACACACATTGCCACGTTGCAATGTTATGTCAATTTGTGTATTTGATTAAGATCCTCTTCTTCGTTTTGTAAGTCCCTCGAACTGCAGGAGCCACAGGTGTCTTTGGTGACTTTGTTTTCCTCTGTACCTAGTGTGACTTGATGAAGAGCACACATTGTATGAATAGTTGCTGAATGAATGGATCACATGTGCTATTGAGGACACATATGTGACGGGGAAGTCCTTCTGTGTGTATGTTTGTCTTATTGGTTGATAAATCAAGCACTGTTGACCAATAGGGAAGCAAGATAGGTGGGACTAGGAGTCGAGGAGGATTCTGGGAAATGTAGTCAAGAGTAGAGAGTCGCCATGTCAGCCAGGAAAGAGGAAGCACAAGGTTGGAGTCCTCCATAAGATAAGACCTTATAGAAATATATATTAGTAGTAAAAATATAAATTAGTAGAAATATATATATTAGTAGCCACGGGATAATACTTCAGGCAGAACTAGCCAATGAGAAGCCCCGGACATTGACTGACAGCGTTGTAACTAATAGACTGTCTGTGTGTTATTTGGGGTTGATGGGGCCCTGGGACCAAGCTGGCGGGAAGAATGCTCCGTTGCACACGCAGAAGAGACGTGAACATGCAGAGTCAGTAAAGTTTTAATGGAACTGTCCTGGTTAGATTATTGGGAAGAGGAACATGAGTTGAGAAAATGTAGTAGAACCTTAGTCTGATTTTTCTTCCAGCACTTCCAACACCCAATAACTAGCAATTCCATTGCCTCTCCCCAGCCCCGGTTTCTAAAAAAGGGTGAGTCTGTATAACTGGACACCGAGAGTTTTGGAGTCTTTGGGGGATACTTGCCTTTCCTTCTCTAGATCTTCCAAATCTTGGAGTCGGCAGTGCCGAAAGTGGGACTTCAAGAAGGAAACAAAAAGCCAACGGAGCGGAGCCGTGCAGAGGGCTGCCAAGAGCCAAGTGCCACCGGCGGGCGCAGGAAGGGCATTCAAACTGTCATCCAAGGGAGCTCGCCTGCAGCGGAACTGGCCTCCCCTCAGCAACGTCGGCAGAAGCTGACACGGAACACTGCATGTCGGGAAGGGATGAAAATACCCGGTGACATCAGTGGCTCCTAGCACAGCCGAGGGCATTCTAGAGGTGTGTGGTGTCAGGACGGCCTGTGCTGGACTCGTTTTTGTCTACCTGAGTCATTTGAGCAGGGCATTCTCGCTGGCTTAGCTTTGTTGTGGCTAGAATTTGGAACCGGTCCCCTGGCTCCGTCCCCACGGTCTCTGCTTCTGAAGCACAGCGTGGGTTTGTAGGGTCATGGACTGGGGCTCACGGCAACCAAGGATAGACTGTTCCTTCTCTGGGCCACAGGCTTCCCCAGGAAGGAGCCTTTGGCCAAGTGTCTTTTGTGTCTCCAGAGCCAAGTGTAGCCGCTGGCAACTAGCAGGTTCTCGCAAATAAATGACAGAGTACAGGGACACATTCTGGGAAACACGGGGGGGGGGGCGCTCTTTGGGGTGGCAGCATGTTCAGTAGCACAGCACTGTGTTGCCTTCTTCAGTTTGTGGGGCGCTAAGGATAATTTGCGTTTCCTGGCATAAGGTGTCTGCTGCCGATTGCACAGGAGAAAGTGCTATGGTGTGTGTGGGGGATCAGGCTGTCTGAGGCCGACTGAGGGCTCCAGAAAAACAGTGAAGTGGAGGCATTCATCCTAGGGGAGGCTGCAGAATACTCGATGCGCGGGAGGAGGGGGGGAAACACGTTCTGAGTCTCCGAGGAAAGAAAAGACCACCTTGGGAAACAAGGGCTGCAGATGGCAGGGGTCTCGGGATTCTCAGTTCAGGTTTCAACTCCCACACGTTCCCCTGCCTTTCCACTAGGGGGCAGACAGAGGCTGGAGAACATACCGGCCAGGAGGCCAGTCCCTCACCCGCAGAACCAGTCTCACATCAACACACTAGGCTGTTTGTGCTCTGCAGAAGGCAAATCTAGGCCTCTCTTCCGGCCGGCCACAGCATCAGTGATATTGCATGGTTTGCCTGTGACATCAGACACTGCACAAATATGATAACCAAATTGCACGGTTTGGAGCGAATGGGTTAGTAAACAGAAAAAAAAAAAGGAAGGAAGAAAAAAAGAAGAGGATTTTTTTGTTGCCGTTGTTTGACACGTGGGGTTGGGGGGAACCATGCCTCCTGCATCCTTCATTATCCTGTGCTTTAGAAAGTCATTTCCTCCTAAGACATCCCAGGCAATGGGGCCCCTTAATTGGCTTAATTTTTATTCTTAATCCTCAAGGGTCGTGGAAAAACAGCACAGCCCTTCCTGTTCCTATTATCCCCTCGTAAATTATTGGGCGCATAGACTTAGCTCTAAAGCAAACTGCACTGAGCCTAGAGGAAGAAGGAACATTTTTCCAGGCCAGATCGCAGAGACGGAGATCACCACAGACATGAGTCACTCCTATAAAACCAGAGGATTTAAAAGCGGCTCTCCTGCTTGCTGAGGGTGTCGGCTCGGGAATCTTTGCTCCGTGCTTGCTAACATTAATAGAAATGCCTGTCAAAACAGTAAGTTTTATGACTTTTAATGAGTTGCATCCTTAATTGTGGGGAGAAAAAGTAAGTTAATTACACAAGCCAAAGGGGCGAGATCAGGCTGCCCTTAAAACAAGGGTGTCTAGTGGGACCAAAATTCTTAGGCAAATTCTTTCAAGTCCTGGACTTTTTTTGTCTGGGCTATCGGTGATCCATTCTGATAGTGTAGCTGCTCAGGAGAATTCTGTAAACACAGAGCCGGACTTCAAGCGGCTTGAATGACTAGCAGAATGCTCTTAAGGGATTACCTAAAAATACACAGTTTTAAAATGATATCCTAGATTTGTTCATCTAAAGTCATTTGATTTTCAATTACAAAAAATAAAAAAATAAACAAACGGGCTTGGGTGTATTTGGACACAGATGTTGCTGTGGTTTCTAGATTCCTTTGTTTAAAGGTGTGTTCTAACTGTGGGGAGAAGCCTTTTTATCTGATTGGGTACTCAGGCTTACAAAGAAAGTAATTACAGGCCAGAGAGAGGACTCATCCCCCCATCTAAATTCCCTTCCACATATCAACATAGTTTGACCTTGATTTCTTTTTTAGATGTAAGGAAAGGATACTGATGTAATTCAAACAAACCATTTTTTCAAATACCCCAAGGAATCTGGCATCAGCGATGACAGGCTTGGAGGACGGAAGCCCGAGGAGTAACCAGTTCTCCAAGTCCTCAGAGTGGATGCAGCTTCCTTTCTCATTGAGCTAAGATATTTTTGTCTTCTTTCCAGGGAACATTGGTTTGCCCAGTCCTCTGGAAAATGCCCAGATACTGGCTTCCCCTTTCCCTCCCTCCCTCTCTCTCTCTCTCACTCCTTTCTTTCTCCTTCCCTCCCTTCCTCCCTCCAAGCCTTCTCTGGTCTTTTTTTCTTCTTCGGTCTTCCCACTGACATTCGCACCACGGCAGCCTCTGTGGTCAGCGAGGTGACCTCCAACCTTCCTCCAGCCTTTCTTCTCAGAGGGCAGAGGCCTCCCTTCTGGCCCTGACAAAGCACTTTCAGTCAACTCTTGGGTTTCTTCATGGTTGATTAAACTGTCTGTGTTTATTCAGGACCCTTCTTCTCTTTCTGTGTCCGGCTGCTGACCTTTCTGTTGCTTCATTGTCAGAGGGAGAGAGAGAGAGAGAGAGAGAGAGAGAGAGAGAGAGAGAGAGAGAGAGAGAGAGAGAGCTCGCCGGGCAGGGGGCAGTCAGTCCAAATGCTTGTTAGCGGCCCGGCCCTTGGAAAAACAACGAGGCCTCTGAATTATTGGCGTGCCTTCGAAGCCAGGAGCTTTTTCACCTGGGCAGCTCTCAGAACTGCTGCTACTGGATGAAGCCAGAGGAGGAAACATCAGGTTGCCTGTGAATTAGGGTTGCTGCTGTGTCCTTCTGAACCGCAGCCGAGCCTGGTCATCCTGCCACTCAAGGCCCCGTGGCTTCACAGAGTGTGAGGTTCTTCTGAACAAGAGAGGAGAGGTTCTCACCGCTTGGAAACAGGGATGGGAGAGAAAAAACGAAGGCACAGAGAGTTTTGTTGGGCAGCCAGAAACAAGCCAGGGCTCCCTGCCTGCCCCATCTGCCCCCCTCCTACCAGCCATGGACACTCTTGTCAGCAGGATGACTGACCCCCCCCCTACTGTTACTATGCCTCTGGACTCTAGGGCAAACGCAGGTCCCAGCGGGTCCACCAGCTGGCTACAGCCCAGCCTTCCTGTGGTTCTGCCACACGTGCAGCTACCCTTTCTTTTTCTACACGTTGTGACCCGTGCCTGCTGTACCCCTCCAAAAGGCGTCGTGTCTTCAGTGTCTTCGTGTATAATTTCATCACCCTGACTTGGCTGACAGTGCTCAGAGGGTGGAGAGTGCGCTGTCTTTATCTCACTGTGCCTGGGAGAGCGGGCCGACTCTCTTAGTGGGAGTAAGTGGATCATACAGATGGAGATGGACACTCTCCGGGCCTCTCTCTTACGCTCCTGCTATGCCACCTGGTCCCCCAGGGATAACTCTACCCCCTTCTTATTGTCCCTCACAGTGTCCAGCTCCCGGCACAAACAGGGTTTGCTTTTATTTATTTCTTACTGTAGCTACTCGTCCATATCACGTTTCCAGCTCTGCCTAGCCGCCGCTGCCCATCTCGGATGGTCAAGCACCTTTTGTCACTGGAAATGACACAGAGGGGATGGATGCCCAGTGGACTTCAGACTAGTCAAAGGAATCACTAGGGCTGACGTCATCATCATCATCATCATCATCATCATCATCTACTAGGCTGGCCTCAGACTTGCTATGTAAGTCCAGCATTGTCTGGAACCCCTGGCACTCCTCCTTCCCGCCTCCCCCATGCTGGGATTACAGACATGTACTGCCTGCCATTCCTGGCTGATATAATTAAATTTCGATGGTCTCCATGCAGGTTTTCAGTCACTCTAGCTCTGTTCTAGTCACTTTTGTTTAGTTCAGCCGCCGCTGCCGGGCTGGAGAGAGGAGAGAGAGGGCATGCTCTAGGCAAGGTCTCCCTAACCGAAGCTCTTTGACATTTGGAGTCTGCTTTGCTTAGCATAGATTTACAGCATTCCTTATCTCTGCCTTCTAAATCCCAGGAGCAGCCCCTGTGGGTGGCAGCTGAAACCTGCTCTAGGCAAGTGTCCCTTGGAGTCCCCGTGGGGACAGAGTAGACAGCCTCCAGGAATACAGACGGAGGAAGCCACAACTTGGGGTGGAGAGGACTACCCCAGAACCAGAGGACTTTCTTTTCTGGATTTTCTCTTTAGACGTTTGTTGATTTGCCTGTGGAGGTTAGAGCTCTAGGGATTGAACTTTGGTCCCCCTGGGCTTGGCAGCAGGCACTCTTACCCACTAAGCCATCTCTCTGACTCTTGGTTTTGTTTGTCTTTTGTTTTCTGAGACAGAGTTTCTCTGTGTAGCCCTGGCTGTCCTAGAATTCACCCTGTTGACCAGGCTGACCTGGAACTCACAAAGATCTGCCTGCCTCTGCCTTCTGAGTGCTGGGACTAAAGGTGTTTTTTTTATTTTTATTTTTTAATGTGATCAATGTGGTGCTGTGCTCTGGTCAGTTTGGGGAGAGACTCTCTCTAAATGTACTTAAATTATATAGCATTTTAGCACTCTGCTTGAATTTTGCTTCAGGGGTCTTTTTTTTTTTTTTTTTTTTTTAAGTTGCTTGTTCCTGATTTGGGAACTTCTTTCTTGGGCTTGGTACTCACCTTGTTTCAGGAACCCTGTGGCTTTCTGAAAACTCTAGTGGGGACAGGATGAACCACAGGGGTGGGGGAGGGGGAGGGGAAGGGGGAAAGCATGGGGGGAGGATGACAACGCAGGACTACCACCAACTTGGGCTACTCTGTGTGTTGAGGGTGATATTTAAGGCTCCAATCCCTCCACTCTCTTGACCTAGGAACTAGATTCCCCCCAGACACACACACACACATTCATAAACATTTGGGAACAAAACCCACATAAACTGAACTCACACAACACCTGGCTGCAGACCAGATGTTACAGTATTGGTTCTCCCCAGAGCTCGCTCACTGGGCTTGGGCGGGCAGCATGGAATGCAGTCCAGAGGGCACACACCGCCCCCAGGCCAGCAGGCTCCAGGTTCTGGCCAGCGTCTGGCCCTTTCTGCCTCTCTCAGCTGCCACGGGGATGACCCTGTGGCCTAGGCTGGGTCTGGCTTGGGGGTGGGGAAAGGGAGTCAGAGAGTCTGATTTCTGAAGACTTGCACAGTCCTCAGAAATCATTTCTTATTGCTGCCTCCACGAAAATGCCAGCGTCCAGAGGCAGAGCGCCCTTGGCCCTCCCAAGTGGGCACCTTCATGTCCGGGCAGAGGTAGAATCAGGGCAGAGGGAGTGGTGTGTAGTCCCTGGAGACAGCCTCTCCAGACTTTGAAAACACGTCCCCAGAGGTGGGAGTGTCTCTCTCTGGCTAGACCCTGGATTTTGAACTCCCTGGGCTGCTCTCTCCCTGTGGACACCCCTCCTGTGTCACTGCACGCTCTCTCTCTCTCTCTCTCTCTCTCTCTCTCTCTCTCTCTCTCTCTCTCTCTCTCTCTCTCTCTCTCTCTCTCACACACACACGAATGCCCTTCCCGCTGCTGAGTGCTGACTTAACACAGCTTCTAGAGCCTGGTGATGCCACAGGTTTCTTCCCTTACAGAGCTACAGCCACAGCTCCTTGCTGGGCCTCCCCCACAGTGACTTGACCACAGGGCCACCCCTGGAGTCCTCCACGAACCACCCCTTCTTTAGAGCCATTGATTGGAGCGGCAGCTGACAGATACCTCTGTAGGTAGCAACTACCTTTTGGAAGTTCAGATTCCTCCTAATAGAGACGAAAAGAAGGGGTGTTGTGAACCCATGTTGGCATGCTGATGAGTGGGAAGAACCACCTTTTCACCGTGTGGCTAAGGTCCCCGGTGTTGTCTGCCACTCCTGTCCATCCTTTGGGTCATCTCTGCTGGTCCGGTAGCTGATACTCAGGATGAGGAAACGACTCGGCGGCAGCGCCGGGACTTGCTTTTCTTTGTGTCACGAATGAAGTGGGGCAATAAGCTAGCCATGCTGAGTGTTCCTTTTTTTGCCACTTGAGTCATCCGTTCTCCCGTTTGCTGGTGCCTTTGTCAGGGAGTCCTTTGTCATTTTTGAAAGCGCTATTTCTTAGGAAATAAAAGAACAGTACGACCACAGTTAGTGCTGCTGGTGAGTTCTGTTACTCGAGGCGCATTTACTGTAATAGGAAAGAAATATGAATCTCATCAGTGCGTTTAGGAAGCCTGTTACTGCCAGGGCTATCTTCTTTGTCCCCAAACACCATGGTACCTACACTTCAAAGACTTGTTCTTCAGAAGCCATTGTGTTGGGGGAAACAGAATGAACTGTGCTTGTGTGGTGTTGAGTTCTTTTAAAAGGGAAAGGGAAGAGATAGACTTTTGGGGCGGCGGGGGGGCGCCTGGGTAAGAGAGAAGAGGGTGAGGAAGGGAAGGGGGAGGGTCACTGGTCTGCTTCTTTGACCAGAGACGTGCAGATTTTCTCTCTGCACTGAATTCACACAGCTCTCTGTCTCTCTGTTCAGCCCCAAGACCATACTCTCCACACCCACTTAGGCTAACTCGATGCTACAGGAGCCTTACAGTCTCACGGTTCTATACTTGGTGGGAGCATACTTAAAGTCAAGAGAAGACGAGGGCCAGGGACTTTGTGTTCGGAACTTTGAGAATCGGTGTGGAGTGGCTTAACTGGACTCTTTACTTACAGACTCTGCAGAAAGTGTTTTGATAGGAGAGCGCCGCAGTAATGGACTTGAGTTGTTTGGATTGCGTGGATCTTAAAAATAGCACTGAAATTGTCGTACTTGCACCAAATGCTGTAAGTAATCCCCTCACACCCTTAGATGGGTAGTGTTCTGGACTGAGTCACGTCCTCCTGAAATTGCTGAGGTGCCACCCCCTCCATCAGAACATGAGCTTATTTGGAGACAGGGTCCTTCCAGACACAATGAAGCTTAACTTCTTTGCGGGATGGGGGAGGGTCCCTAATCTGTTACGACTGCTGTCTGCACACAAATGGAAATTAGGGGTAGACATGGATGCAGCAAACACGTAGGGGAGGCCAGAGGCAAAGGCTAGCCTGATGGTTCTGTAAGCCAAAGGGTGCCAAGGTTCTAGACAGACCATCAGAAGTCAGTTCAAAAGCCCAGAGCACACCTGCTCTCAAGCCCTCCAAAGGAACTCACCTCACTGACACGTAGAAACTGGATTTCTGGTCTGCAGGACTCAGACACATGGAACTGCCATTGCTCCCTAGCATCCAGTGGTGACTCCCCGTGCATCTGTGTCTTCAGCTGGGGCATCTCTGTTGGTGTTTCGAGAAACACTGAATTTGGGAGTTGCTGTCCTGCCAGCCAGCTTCCAAATAACCACACAGAGGCTTCTTATTAATTATGAAAGCTTGGCTGATAGCTTAGACTTGTTTCCAACTAGCTCTTATAACTTAAATTAATCCATTTTTTATTAATCTGTGTTCTACCATGCAGCTTTTATCTCTATCCCATTTTGTGTGTCCGACTTGTTCCATGCCTGGCTGGAGACTCTTTGAGTCTCTGCCCTTCTTCTTCCCAGAATCCTCTCTGTTCTGATAATCCTAGCTGATGACCCAGCTTTGGTTCTGATCAGGCCAAATCCCTCCAAAGGTCAGGTGTCCTCGGACGTGATGTAGGTGTACCAACGAGAGAACGAACGAGAGGCTTCCGTGCTGTAAAACCAAGGACGGGACCTGGCAACTTGGTGGGTTCTCTAAGGAAATGACCGGAGTCATCTTTCCTTCCGGAGTATCTTTCTCTGAGAAACGAGTTGCCCAGGGCAGGGAGAGGCAATAGGACTTGTCTTCAGTGACGACGCGGACTAATGTAAAGCTGACTCCACACCTCCAGTGTGGTCCCTTTGCATCTCCGTTCTTACGGAGATGCTGTTTCCCATGAGTGAATGTGAAGGAAAGGCAGCAGGTGAGCCTGCAGGCTCCATGCTCTTTGTAACATCTGCTAAGAGGTCCTTGCTGCTCAAGGGCCTCTTACACAATCCCGAAGGGCTTCCTGATGAAAGAAACGCCTTTTCTTTATTCTTAATCTTACTTGTGGGGAAACAGCCGGATCCACACTCTCTTGATATTGCAGTGGCTCGCACGAGGCCTCACAGACTTCTACCTCATTAAGAATGCTTTTGCAGTGCTCCTTACAGGGAAAAAAAAAACCAGGGCTGACTTAGAAAGAACCAAGTAGACTCAGATGGCTATAAGGTAGATAGTGTTTGGAGAGCCTGCAGGGACCGGTCCTGAAGGGAGCCAAGCTGTGTTCATGGTAACATGGCATCGGAGAAAAAGGATTTGAATATTAGTTGGTGATGACTGACTCTACAGCCAAAATGTCCTGGAGAGATAGCTATTTTTAGAACCAGTTTGCAGATTTAGGAAGGAATGTTGCCTCAATTACGACTCAGTATCCGTAAAGGCCAAGGACTAGAGTCAAGTCTCCACAGATCTTCCCATCGTGGCAAGGTCAGAAACTCTGTGGAGAAAGCTGCAGGTTCTTTGTTTAACACATGCCATATGCCAAAATCCCCCCCACACACTTCAACCTACTCTAAAACCCCTGGTTAAGAACCATTCTTAATACCTTTGAGACCCCCCTCCAAGATAAAAAGGAAATGCTAAGTTCTAACTTAAAGGTCATTTATGAATTCTTCTATTTAATGACATGGGCTGACACAGGAAATAGTATGTTGGCTAGAGAGAATAACCATTGACACACTGGTATTGGTAGGAGAAACTGCACATTGAGGTTTATCAACTGGAAAGAGCAGCCAGACTCCAGAGGTGCCGGCTATCTATTAGGGTGTATCTTGTCAGCCATGGGTCCTAAGTAGTTTCTTATCTTCTCTCAGCTTCTGTGTCCCCATGAACACTAGTGAGAGACATAGTTCCCACCATAGTTTTCTGGGAAGCTGTGGATGGTTTCCCCTTCAGGGACTCAAATCTCTCCTGCAAATTGTTGTATGATTAGGAGGTGGCATTAATATGAAAGCTGAGCATAGAGACAAAACTATCAAGCCTCAGTAATTTTTAGAGTTGCTTTTAACTTGAGGAAATTTTACTATGTCCTAACAAAACAGTGTGTTTTAGGGGAAATAAACAACAAAAGCCCTGTTCCTATATTAGTTTTTCTACTGAGAGGGAAAGTATACCCTAAAAGCTACAAATAAGCTCAGAAAGATTTGGTTTTGAGGACTAAACAAGGTTTGTTTTTCTTTAAGTCAGCTGCCAACAGTTATCTAGACAAATGGTCCCTGTCTTATGACAGTTTGAACTTCCTTTGATGACTGACTTTACAATGTGTCAAAGGATAAGGAATTTAAAATTTTGATGTTTTCCCAGACCAAGTAAGATCTTTGCTCTTTTCTCAGACACTGAGAATCCCAGCTCCCAGTCGGCCATGGAATCCCCACAGTGAAAAACTCATGCCTTACAGTGGACAGTGATGGACAGCCAAATGTGGTATCTGTTGACAGGTAAGTTTGGGGGTATATAGTGGTCTAGGAAGGTTGGAGATATATAATGAATTATTAAGTTTGGGGATATACAAGGGGCTAGACGTTTGGGGGTATACAGTGAGTTAGTAAGTTTGGGGATACATAGTGGTCTGGTAAGTTTGGGGATATACAATGGCCTAGGAAGTCTGGGGGTATATAATGAGTTAGTAAGTTTGGGGCTATATAATGGGCTAGACATTTGGGGATATATAATGAGTTAGTAAGTTTGGGGATACATAGTGGTCTGGTAAGTTTGGGGGGTTGTGATGGGCTAGGAAGTTTAGGGGGATATAATGGCAGCTTATTTAGAAGAAGGAACAAAGCCTCCTTGTTTTAGCAAATCCAGGGGCCTGAACATCGTCAGGGAGGCCTGGGCTTTAGACTGGAAGGAGGACTGTGCCAGCCACCACTGTGTCCCTCTGCAGTGTTATCTCCAAGGGTATCACTGCCAATCACCAGAAGCCATGCTCAGGCTTGTTTCTTCTTGCCAGAAATTCTGCGGAAGCTTGTTTTATAGGAAGTTGCCTTCCTTCCGAGCAGAGAGAGGGACCATCCCTAGCCCGAGCACAATATGAGCAAATGATCGCTGGCGGCTGTAAGAGGATCTCGTAAAGCATTTATGTGAACCCACAAAAGGGAGCTGACTTTCGCACAGCTGTCTCTCCTGCTTAATTGTTGCAGGAAAAGGGCTGCCAGAGTCACTGGTGACTCCAGGGCTCGGTCTTGCTTTAGGAAACAGGGCAGCCAAGGCCTTGGGAATCTCCAGATTTTTCTTCCTCCATCTCACAACCCAGTTTGAAAGGAAGCCCCACCACGTGGATGTGTACGGAGTAGGGCCCATGCTCATTTGCTATTATAAATCTGGGTGGTCCCAAGGAAGAAAACCAGGCGCGTCCTGCTGTGTTCTTGGTGGGCCAAAGGATGCACACTCAAGGGAGTAGGCACTAAAGAGTTCATGTGTGTCAAGAAGGGTGTTCCGGCTGTGATCAAGGCAGAGATTCTGAATTGGGGGAGAAGAAGGAGGAAGTCTCCAGGGAGTTCGGATACGCGCACCAATCTGGAAGGGGCGGGGCGGGACTTTTTAGAGGTTAATGTCAGCTAAGATCCCCAAGGAGATTGGCTGCATGAGCCAACCCAAGGGAAGGGGAAAGGGTCTGCTCTGTGTAAAGTCTGCGTTGTCATGGAAGTCACCGGTGTAATGAGTAATGAGTATCACCCCCCCCCCCCACCAGCCTGGTCCCAGAGCCACATCAACCCCAAATAACACACAGAGACTCTATTAGTTACAATGCTGTCGGCTAATGCCCAAGGCTTCTCACTGGCTAGTTTTGTCTTAAGTATTAACCCATACTACATATATATATGTCTATAAAGTCTTATCTTACCAAGGACGCCAGCCACATGCGTCAGCCCTTCCTGGGACTACACAGCGACCCCTACTCTTTACTCCATTTCCCAGAATCCTCCTTGACTCCTAGTCCCACCTATCTTGCTTCCCTATTGGCCAACAGTGCTTTATTTTTATCAACCAATCAGACAAATATATACACAGGAGGACTTCCCCCCCATCACCCCAGAGAGTGGTCCCTGCCCGTGAATCCGAGCTTCTGACTTCAGGTCACCTATCCATGTCTGCTTCTAGCTCTTGCCAGCTTGGATCCCTCAACGGTACCTATTGGTTTTTAGGATTAAATCATGAACCCACCCCGAGATTATCCCCTTAATTATTTGAGCAATCAGGTCTGGACGCAACTCTTGGACAATAGTTGCTTGGCCACTCCCAAATGCGGAAACCTCTGCCCCTCAGCAAATGCGTGGGGGAGTAAAAGCAAATCCTGCCATTTGCTGGAGTTTATGCCCTGTCTCAAATGTGCCGAAATGCACTTGTTTTCCATGTGCATAGGGATGCCAAAGTCTGTCTGGAAAGATTAGGCTAGCTGAACCTGAGGTTTCTTGGGGTCTCTCCCATCTGTAGACTCTATGAATTTGAGATACTTCTAAGTATATGCACTAAGAATTAATTTTTAGAAAAACAAATTTTGCTCACAGCACCATTACTGGTTTGCCACGAAGGCCTGAGAACTCAAGTTCGAAATCCCATCCCACAGTAGAAGGAGAGAAGTGACCCAGAAAGTTGTCCTCTGACCTCTACATACACATGGTATGTTTGAGCGCACACACATGCGCACACACACGCACACATGCATGTTCTCTCTCTCTCTTTCCTCTTCCTCCTAAGGAATTTTGGTTTTGTTTTCTGAGAAAGGGTTTCCCTGTGTAGCCCAGGCTGACCTTGAACTCACCTGCCTCTGCCTCCTGAGTGCTGGGATTAAAGCACTACCACGATCTGGCTAGAATAAAGAAAATTTCAAAAAACTGAAAAAGAATGAAGCAACAAAATTACTCATGACTGGACCATACGTAGGACCATAGTTCTGGTATTGGGAAGACTTTTCTAATTTAATTTCAGGCAAAAATTCTCTTTTCTATTAAGTATAGAATAGAATGGGTAAGATTTGCTGCTGAATGTTAATGTTTCCAGACAGAACAAATAAATTTAAATAGGAATATATGACCCACCATTTATAAAAAAAAAAAAAGCAAATGCAGTAAAAGGAAGAGGGCTGACCTGGGCCTCCATCGGAATGTGTCGGCCAGCTGCAGCTGAGCACCCAGGATAGCCCAAGGCTCTTCCCTGCTGGACAGCGTCTCTGCTCACTCCTGTCTTTCCCCAGCCCTCTGCACACCCTTGGCGCATTGTCTGAAGTCCCACGTGTCACCCCCCCCACACACACACAGGCTACTTCTTTCCTCAGACTGAGCTCCTGCCTATCTCCCTGACCCCTGGCGCTCCCCTCTCCCAGTCCCCTTGCCTTGAGAGCACTTCTCCCTCTGGACCCCGCTGACTTACACTGCAACACAAGGTTAGTCCGCACTTGTGTCTCTCCCCTGCTGGACCTGAGCCTCTGGAATACGGAGTCGTTACTAAAGGCCGTCAATTCTCCCCCGTAAGGCATTAAACGCCCAGGTATCCAATGCAGTCGTAGGGAGTTTAAGCAGATTGGAAAGAGGCAGCCTCCATCCTCCCGCACAGACATGTACAGCAGGGCCACAGATTTCCTGGACGAGGTGGGGAGGCTGTGCAGTTGCTGTTTCTCAGCCTTGACATCTTGACTTCTGGCCTAAGTATTCTTGGGCTGCTCTGTGCAGCATCCTTGGCCTCTCCCCAATATGTGCCAGTAGCATCTTCTCCTCCCAAGACTCTAGCAGTAGCTGCAGACTTTGCTAACATCCCCGAGGGACGGTCCTGCCCCTGGTGGAGAGCCACTGACATAAGTAGCTCTTGAAGGAACGTAAGAGGAAGCAGCTGAGACTTCGCTCAGGAAAGGTTCCATAAAATTTCCCCCTTACGTCTAGCGTCATCACATTTTTTAGTATGATGTAAAGCAGCAACTTACACTTTCTGGATGAGCGTTTGAACCCCAACAGGCTACCGTAGTGCCTCTTTTCAAATGCTGCAAGTCTGGAAGGGAGTGAGGGTAAAGGGAATAGGGTATGTCTCACTCACTTGAAACAAGAACATCTTGTTTGGGAGGGGTTGGGAGGACAGCGCCAAGAAATGTCTCGGTTCATACTAGGAAAACGGCAGGCAAAGAGAGGAAAATGAAGAAGCTGACAATGAAAGATACGTGCTTTTAAATAAGCTGTGGTGTTGGGTACATTTGAGTCATATTTATAATCTCAGGAAAACTGTCCCTGCGCTACTTGATTCACTCGAGAAACGTCGCCGTACCCTCCAAGCCAAAAGCTTCGGCTGTCACAGTTCTCTTCAGTGCCTCAATGCTGGTGAGCTGTAGGTGTGGAACTAGAGACCGTAATGTGCATTCTTCCCTCCAAGTAGCCTGGGTCCCGATGCCGCTTTAGCCCCCAGATAACACAGGAGACACTATATTAGTTATGAAGCTGCTGGCCATTTGCTATTGCTTCTCATTGGCTAGCTCTGACTTAATTATTGATCCATAATTACTATAATATATATTTTTATAAGGGCTTATCTTTTTGACGACGCCTTCCTGGGGCGTCCTTCCCTCCTAGGAGACCACATGGCGACGACTCTCTTTGATACACTTCGCAGAATCCTCCTAGACTCCTAGTCCCACCCATCTTGCTTCCCTATTGGACAACAGCGCCCTATTTATACCAATCAGACAAACATATACACAGAAGGACTTCCCCCATCAAGAGATGGTGCTTTTACCCCTACTAACTTCTATGATGGAAAAAACCTTATTTGAGTAGTGTGACAACACATTTGAGACCCCACCCACCCACCCAGGGGTCATACAATAGCAGCCACTTTGGGCTTAATGGCGCTAGGATGTGGAGGAGGGCGGGGCTGGAACCACTCATGAAAGCACATGGAACACACGCGTTCCTCCCAGGCTGTGAGCTCCAATGCTGTGGCACCCCTGACACAGGTGTCTGTGGTATGTAGGGAGGCAGTTTCCAGTATCGATACCCAGGTCTCCCAGGCTGGGGCCATCATCCATCAGCCGCCGAGCATCCCACTGGCAGGTGACGAAGCACATTTGTTCAAACACGGGAAACGGTGTTTGAAAAACCAACCCCCTTGCTTTTCTTTGAAGCTGTTACGCTCCATCATGTCAGGGAGCCGGACCCAAGTGATGGCCAAGAGGCGATGACAGAGTCACAGCACAGGGCCTGGGGGGAGTCATGGGATTGGTTGCTGTTGTCCCGCCCACCCCTCCTTGGTGAGGTGATAGAAAATGGATTTTTTTTTTTGAGGCAGTGACTTGAGGCATTATGCATTAATGCCTATGCGGGGATTTTCATATCACGTACCATGCACTGACGGTTGAAACGGGAGTCGTTATGTAAAGCCTTGATCGATGTCTTTCTGAGACTTTGTCAACCGCATCTTTCGCGTGGTAGAACTCGGAAGCCTTCAGAGCCACCGGGGAAGCTGCTGAGTAAAGGGCTGTGTGTAAGGTTTGTGTGGAACGCTTCAGGTCAGGGCACGGGAGAATGATTGCCATGGCTGTTGAGGACCCTTGCCTGCAAGGCAGTAAAACCCAGCATGTCTGCACTCCCGCGGATCTGTTGTCAACACATTCAGATTTTGGGAGGCAGCTGGGGGACTATGGATAAGAAAAATCAAAGACCTGCAGCAACAAGCAGGTGGTGGTTTCCACATACGTCTCTCCGATACCTCGAAAGGTAACTTGCTTCGGAGCCAGCAGCAGGAGGTGGAGTGGGACTTTGTGAGTTGGTTTCGTTTGACGGGAGCTGTCATCGCATGGGCGAGAAGGCCAAGCATTCCGGCCTCTGCTCTGACGTCAGCCCGGGCTCTGTTGGAAGAAGTACTTCCCGAGTCGGCTTTGTTCTTCTCAGTGCAAGTCCACAAAACAGGCGTCGAGGGAGACTTGGAACCTGGCCAGGAGCCACGTCAGGCGGTCACCGACAGCCACCTGAGTCCCTCTCCCCCAGCCCTTGTTTTTCAGGTGGGTTGCAATACAATGACTTCATGGAATAGCTGGAGTTTAAAGAGGACCCCCTTAGGCTGGAGTTACTGTTAGAACAGGCTCCAAGAGGAGAGGGTCTGTGAAGCCTGACATTTTCATGAAGCACCTGTAATGTGTTTATGTGCGTCCTCTTGAGGAGGGGCTAGGCCCGGCCCAATGCTGTAATTTTTAAAGAATGTTGGCACCTTTTACAGGTTAAGAATCACCGCTGGGGACCATTCCCACTGAGGTAACGGTACTGAGTGGGCACACTGTGGAAAACACTGCAAAAAAAGATGTTCAACGGTCTGTCGTTGACCTGGGCGACTCTGGTATTAACCACAGGCATGCGTGCACAGCCTGTAGAAAAGCAAGCCACGCGCATGCGTGCACAGCCTGTAGAAAAGCAAGCCACGCGCATGCGTGCACAGCCTGTAGAAAGCAAGCCACGCGCATGCGTGCACAGCCTGTAGAAAAGGAAGCCACGCGCATGCGTGCAGTCTGTAGCAAAAAGCAAGCCCCGCGCATGCGTGCACAGCCTGTAGAAAAGCAAGCCCCGCGCATGTGTGCACAGTCTGTAGACAAGCAAGCCACGCAGAATTTTAAAAACACAAAGCTTTCTGGAGATTTTTGTTTCTTTAGAGAAGAAACCCACAGCTGTCCTAATTCCATTCATCAACATCGTCCTGCTAGTCACCAGCCCAAGGCTTATGCTGCCCTTGATCTCATCCTGTTAAACAGTCACCTGCTTAGGTGACAGAAGATGGCGACAGGCTTGTCCCTCTCCGGAGCCAACGGCAAGCTTTCTGTTATGCGGCCTGTGTTTGGTGTCCGGTGCCCGAGGAAACCTCAAACAAATCCTCACTGGTATCATTGTCAGCTCACAAAACCGCGCTGACTGCACTGCGATGCACACGGATCACTGATGTGGTGTCCCTTTGGTCACACGCCATCATTACGGAGCCCCACGGGGGATGTCCGAAACGGACTGGGGAGGAAGCTGTCAAAAGCGATCCAAAGGGCGGTGGAGGAAAATGATGGCGCTCGCGTGATAGAATGAGCAGCGCTCTTCAAAATTCTCCTGTTCTAATTATAGAAATGCCCCCCCTTTTTTTTGTCCCTTTGCCCGGTATGGCTTTACGTGATACTCCCCAGAGGGTGTGATGGGAAAGAGGGAATGAAGAGCAGGGTGAGCAACGGAGAGAGAAGATGAACTGATATCTGAGGCCCTTACCTGTGACCCGCAGTTTCTGAAGGAAGGAAGGCAGGCAGAGATAGCACAAGCATGCTGGTCCTATGTCTGCCCTCGGCTACTTAAGACACACCCGCCTTGCAGTTTTCGCTCCTGGTTGTCAGTTGGTCGTTTCACATCCTCCCATTCTCAAACCAGCCTCTTCCCTGCCCCTTCAGTCTTTCGCTTTTGGCATGTAGGGAATGGGAACCACTTTTGGGGTCTAACTCATTTTATCGCCGACACACCCCATACAACAATGCTTGACATTGTGTGTTTGCACACAGCACCCTCCCTCTATGAAGGAGACCAATGCTAAACTTCTTTATGTGAAATCATCTATGAAAGATTAGTTTTTGCTGCAGTTGCACCTGGGGAGAATTTCTATCCAGTCTGAGAGAGGCTTCACCCATTCTCAGCTCTATAAAGCCCTTAAGATTTTTTTTTATCTCTCCTGAATTGTCCAAAGGTGAGAGACTCAATCCACCAACAGTAATTGTTTTTTTTTTCTATGAAGACAAATATCCCCTTAGATGCTATCCTTCACAAAGCAGCGATCCATTTAAAGAAGCGAAAACAAACCTTGGGACCGGAGATGCTCCAGGTAGGAAGAATGAACCCGTTTCACTCTCTTAGTTCTAGTAGGTTTTTTATTTTCCTCTGCTGCTTCACCTCAGAAAAGGTAGACAATTAAACTGTGTTTATGAGTCATATTCATAGCCCAGCACCTGCTAGAAAATTAAGAGGATATTTTCCCTCATGTCACATTACAGAGTGATGTTCCTTGTCTTCACAGGGTCGCTGGTGTTCACTCATTTGTCAGAATGACTGCATTGCAGGCTCTAGAAGCCAAGAGTGATCATGAGAGACGATGACTGAAGACACTTTCAAATGTTACAAAAAAAAAAGATAGTCACGTGAACTTGGTAAACTCAGGGTTTCATTCCTTTTAAATTGCTCAGAGGTTGAGAAAGGCCCAACAAATCAACAGATGTGGGGAGCTCTGAGCTGTTCCCTTAAAATGTAGTTGCTTCAGTGTTGGGCATGAAGCACACTTCGCCCTGTGCTAGCCAGGGATGTCGGTATGCTCAATATCAACAGCCTAAGCTTCAAAGGACAACTCACGTCATGACACAATAATCCTCAGCACGTGACACGACAGGCCTCTTGCCTAATTGCCGCACGGTGATAAAGATCAAAATATTATTGATCTACAGATGACAAAAAATGAATACTTTATCTCCAAGCTGAACAAAAGATAGGTCAGTCTTCTCAACAAACTTGCCTATACTCACACTGTCACTTCAAGGTGTGTTTCTGTACAAGACCGATGTCCAATTTCCCTTCAGTGGGAAATACAGGTGCCACAATACTCCAGAAGAAGCCACACTGATATACCCAACCCAGTTTGCTGGTTCCATTCCCAGGTCTTGGTGAGGTCCTTGAAGGAAAAAGAAAAGGGGCAGCTCATGCCCTTGGTTATGGTGCTAGTAGATGACGCTGCCCTTGAAGAATGTGACACAATCCCATTTGAGAATTGGTGAGATAACCTAGCCTGCACTGGCTTTATTTGAAAAATCAAAAGAGAATTTTAATTAAAACTTCCACAAATGTTTGCACGATTAACTGGGTGAATGCAAATCTTTTCCGGAAAAAACACGATCTCAGTTGGGTTCTCCCATCCATAAAAATCCAAGAACACAAGTTCACATTTAAACATTCCTAAGCCGGGCAGTGGTGACACAGGCCTTTAATCCCAGCACTTGGGAGGCAGAGGCAGGCAAATCTCTGAGTTTGAAGCCAACCTGGTCTACAGAGCAAGTTACAGAAAAGCCAAGGATACACAGAGATAGTCTACCTAGAAAAAAACAAAACAAAAAACAGCAAAAGCACCCCTCCCCACCCGTACTCTCCGTTAAGTAAAGCATCAGGGTTAAAACTCCATAGAAACAGGTCTCAAAGCTGCACCTTGAGAGACATCAATCACAGGATACGAAATAAGCAAGTTTGGTGTTTTGTTTTGTTTTCCTTTTTGAGGCTGGGGCTAGTGTTTCTGTGGCACACCCAGAGCCGAAAAGCACAGTCTGGCACCAGCTAACTTCTGATTGGCTCCTTGCCACGAGGAGGGCATCTGACCTCTTAGTGACCAGGACAGGAGCCGCAAGGCCATGCGAGCACGTGTTAGACTGTCATGGCTGCTAAAACGGGGAGGCTGGTCACTACATGACTGGTTGCTCCCATAACATCTGCGCCACTACTGCATTCTTGGGCACGCCCTTCCACGCTGCTCATCATCTTATCTCATGGGCAGGTTAAGACTGTTGATGACCGACTTCTCCTGTAGCACCCTCCACAGCTCTTACCGTTAATATGATAGCTCTCGAGTGTGGAGAGCTGCGCCACACCGCACCTTAAAGATGGCACCGGCTTCTGCCTTCCACCATCCCGACGGTGAGTGCTCTCGGTAACAAACAACTCCTTATTTGGCGTGCTTCTATCCTGCCAGGGTCATGCAATGATCATCAGCTTGCTTACACGCGCTGTTGCACCAATGGCTTATGCATACGTGGCCGTTCAGGGTTGGCTGGCCTCGGCTATTTAGGGAGCAGGAGGGGTTTCTCCCGCGGCTGCCTTTCCACTGTTCATCAAGGTCCTGAATAAACTGTCTGCAAGAAGTGTTCCTGAGTCGCATCTTCCTTGCTGGTCGAGGTGGTCGGGACAACTGGTGGCCCGTACGGGGACGCTCGTACGAAGAAGATCCTATGGAACTCAGAACTTGCAGCGGTCAGGGGGTACACCGGTAAGTCCCCAAGTAAGGCAGGGGCCCGCGTTAAGAGCGGGATTTTATTGTTCTCGCCCGTGACACTCGAGAAGGGAGATACATTCTAACTCGGTTCCAGCTTGGTTTCTCTGTATCCTGTGACTGTGCGTGGTGTCTTCAGCAACAAAGTCTTGCCGTCAATTTTTGGTAGGCGACCAGAAACAATGGCCATTCTGTGTATTACTTTGGGGGGGAGGGGAGGTCTCTGTATGCTCTCAAAGGGAGGTGTTACACACCTGGTGCTAAGATGTTTGCCGAAAAAACTCATGGCTTCTGGGAGAAACATTATCTCCCGGTGTAGGAGCATTATTCAGAAATAAGTATGAAAGCACGTGACCTAAAGGTTTGATGTAGGAAATCATTTTTTTAAATGTACTATAAAGACTACAATATTTCATTGTTATAGGATATAAATTACTTTCTATAGGACCCCCTAAAGGATTTTTAAGATCTTTTCCAGGTCTGTCTACACACTCTCTTCTGCTCCATGGATGCATTCTCCATACATTTGAAGCTGGCTTTATTGCCTCTTGTTGAATGTTTGTCTTCAGGTGAGGCTGAACTTTTTTTTTTTTTTTTGTCAGCAGAGTACAGAGATGGTGTTTAGATTGTTCCGGGGTGGAGAGTTCCCTATCTGTACTAGCTCGAATCCTAGACCAAGGGCTGCCACTTATTAGCTGTACTAGGTCCAGAGGGTTGATTAGTTTCTCTGGGCCTCTGTCTTCCCACCTGTAGAAGGAAGCTAATAGAGCTAGTTCCTCGGGCTCTGGGGACGAGCAAGTGGCATGTATTTCAAACCTCTGGCAAGATGCTCCACTCTTTTCTAACGATAAATACTAGCTGTTGCTGTTTCCGTTGACCCCATAATGGTTGGTGCCACCCCTGCCACAAAGGACTGCACTCTTGGGGTTTCTTTGTTCGTGCTACTCATTCTTCTGGTGCCCTGGAAAGTTCCCCTGTGCAGGTTGTGGCACCTTTGACCCCCCTACCCCCATTTCTCTGTCCTCTGCCCACCCACAGAGGCTTCCTTCCAACTACCTTAAGGAATTGACATCTCTCTGTGTTCCCAGCAAAGTAGCCTTGGCATCCAGAGGGACAGACCCTTGTGTCGTAACAAGGGGGCCCAAGTTCTTGCTGCTGACTGATGCCTGCTTGCTGTGAGTGTCCGACCCTTCCCTTTCCCATTATCAGGTTTTAGATGGTGAATGGAAGGCAGCTGCTGCCCCTAGACCTGTTAGCCAGATGTCACACCATCTACACTGGAAATCCAATTCTGCTTTAAACTTGGAGAACAAAGGAGGGACATGGCCTGAAGCCCATGGAGACGGGCCCTTCCACCGGCTGCTTTCACACCGGAGAGACACACATCTTAATAAAAATTACTAATAGTTCATAAAGATTTTGGGGCTGAGGTGCAGTCAGTGTGTGAACACTCAGTTGGGTATATGTCCTTAGACCCAGGGAGGGATGTCTTGTCCCGTGCCCTAGCAACAGCATGTTCTCTTAGTTCCCAGGAGGGTAGGGACAGTTGCAAGAGCCCTAGGTATCTAAGGACCATGGGCAATTAAGAGTGTGTCTGTGAAGTCAAAGTCAGGATATTTAGAATATCAGAGCTGAGAAATATAGAGTACACACAAGCACCACTGAAATGCATCAGGCATTTGAAACATTAAATTAGAAATGGTTAATTGCTACGGGATTAGCTCAGTGGCAAAGCACTTCACCAGCAGGTCCAATCCTTGATAGCAGAAAAAAAATATATATATGGTTAGATAACCAGTTTTAAAGGCCTTCGAACTATCCCTAAATCGTTAAGTGCAACAGTCAAACCCATAACATTTCTGCTCTGTGGACTACATTCGGGGCCTAGGTGGAAAAGACAGTTTCTTTTGCATCAAGGTGATTTGTAAAAGTAAGAATTTAATGACAGGAACTATTGTTGGCTTAGAACACACACACTGTGTAGGCCACAAGGAATTTCAGGCTCTCTGCCCTCAAATCCAATTTGCATGGCTGTACTCCTGTCCCTGCTACAAGCGGCTGTATATCCAACTTCCTTGAGAGGTCTTAAGACTCTGTGAGTCCCGGGCTTGGTTGGCTGCAGGGTCTCCCTGGCTAAAAACATTACCAGCGGCTCCACAGAGATGTGTTTACAGAAAAAGCACAGGGACAGTATAATTACTTCCTTTCATTGCTTCTTTGGCTATTTACGATTCTAGGTTCGATGAGACAGGGAAAACTTTCAGGGGCCTCTGGCACTCCTGAATGGTAGTAGGTTGAGGGAAGGCAGAACAGCCTCCATACTGGATTTTGGGTCTGGAGAGGGGGACCCTAATTAGATCTAACGTTGGGTACAAATAGGATCCTAACTGGGCCAGCAATCTTGAGCTCACAGTGTGTACACATGCAGAACTTCTGGTATTTCTCCATATGGACATACAGTGTAGACATCTGACATTTTTGGTCTATGCTGGAATTTTCTGAGTTCACATTCAAGGTACAGTACAGTGATGGGAACAAAACACTTCTGGACACTGATGATTTTCTTCCCTTACGTCCTGTGCCAAAGTGTACGCTTGAGGCAGTTTTATTAAAGCAAGGCAGAAGTGACTAAGTAAGAAAAGCTCAAATTGTCTCCTCCCAAAATGCACTTTTACAAGGACTCTTCTACTTGGTGATTGTGCCTAGGATACAAATTAGCTACAAAGGATCTTTAAATAACCGATGTAGTAGACATCAGTATCACCAATTCTTTTAAGTGTAGCTCAAATTTGTAGTTTATCAACCTTTATTGATATTTAGTATGTTATAGATATGCCAGAGAAAAGTTTTTTAAAATGTTGAATCATTTTGCCAGTTTGTAGGACATAAATAATTCTCAGCAGGATTGTACGTACATACATGTAATCCCAGGCTGAGGCAGGAAGATCATGAGTTCAAGGCCAGCCTGGGCGACACAGCAGGACCTGTCTCAAAGTAACCAGCATCCTATGCACAGGCCAGTAATCGTTACATTTTTCCTGTGCATGCCTTCCTTCCTTTCCCATCCTGTTCTTCTTCTTACATCATTATAGGCTTTGTGAGACTCATAGCTCAAACTGGCCAGTAACTCGTTAGGTAGTCCAGGCTGGCCTTGAACTCACCGTCCTCCTGCTCGGCTTCTCAGCTGCTGGGATTACAGGCATGGTTACTAGTCCTAGGCATATTTTAATTTTCCATTAAACACAAAGAAAAAGGGATATGATCCAATGATCCAGCACACCAGGAAAGCACTATCAGGGCAGTGTGTAAGCCTGAGGACCAAAGTCCATGGCGGAAACAGAGAACTGGATCCCAAAAGCTGTCTTCTGGCCTCTGCTCGCACGCCGTGGCACTTGCACACTCACGCACGCCATCAAACAGCTGCACACACTAAATACAAACAGAAATGCGTTATTAATAAAATTTAATTTTGTGTTTTAGAATTATTCATTAAAACACGTGCTTATGCCACCTTAAGGGTGACACAGCAATAATAGCTACTATAGCAGCTCAAACCAGAAAAGCTACACAAAGTTATACACGTATTTATAGTAACTTAACGTGGTAGTTCAAGAAAGGTTTTACAGTCATACAAAGTAATCCTAAAGTTAAAAATTTTTACAAGTGCCAATATTTGTAACATTCTGGTTATTTTTAAAACACCCAGAACATCTACTTAAACTTCTAATTATTTAAGATTCCAACCTAAATACGTGCAAGAGATACATAGTTTTTCCCCCTTTTTAATTTAGAGAACATCAGTAAAAGTTATGAGTGGGCCTGCAGGGAACATGGGGATTAGGCATATGCCCAGGGCTGTTAAAGTGGTGGATTTTTTTTCTCTAACTCACCAAAAGTACATGTCTCAGTTTCTATATTAAGTATTGTATACTACTCGGAAAAAGAAAATGATTCCAGCTTCGAGCCTTGCAACCCGGGCTTAGACCTCAAATATATTACTTTAAAGTCTGCTAACAGTGAGTGGAAAGTTGGCTTCTCCGGGTTTTCAGTAACCCTGCTTTCAATCAGCGGAAAGAAGTCACTTGAGTCTTGGCAGTGACCTTAATTCCCTAGAAATTTAAGGCTTTGGATAGAAAATTACTATTGGAGAACTCATTTGCCTCAAGAAGACAGAAGACAGGGAGATCTCTCTAGATTAATGTGCTAGGCAGAATCTAGCTCACTTGGGAGATAGAGACAGCACGGGCAGCCAGGCAGGGCCAGATGCTCACATCTTCAGCAAATAAATCTACTGCCAGCCTTAACCCTCCTCGCACCAATACCTTTATAAAAGCATCCAAATGCTTCCGCATCCTAAGTTACACAGGTCTAGTTGTTGGGCTTGAGTTGCTCGACTATGAGAATTGCTTTTAGTTTTACCTATACAAGTATCAACACTAAGCATGCCAGTAGGGAGGTACTAAACTTTTAAAACGGCAGGTGGAAGTCAGTCTGTCTCATTGGTTTTAGACTGACTGACTGATTGACTGAGAGGCTCTGTGCGTGCAGCCTTGGCTGGCTTTGAACTTGGAGTGATTCTCTTGCCTCTACCTCCCAGAGGCTGTAATCATAGGTGCGTGCTAGCATGCCTGGCTTCTTTCCCTCTTTTCTGGACTGGAGATGAGGCTCAGCGGAATAGCTGTGAAGAAGGGCGCAGGAAAAGAACGAGTCTCCAGTCGTTCCCGGGGAGACCTCGCACAACGGTGTTTAAAGAACCCCGCTGCCCGGGCAGTATCAGGAAATGATCTCGTGACCCTCACAGGCAAGTGCGTTTGACACCCTCTTTGTTAAATGGATTTGTGAGACTGTGATTCTGAACTGAATTCCATTTAGGCAGTGTTAATTCTGCCTTTAAAACATATTAATCCAGGTGAAGTGCCACGATTTAGTTGTCTATTTAGGCGATTCAGAACGACTTCCCGGAGGAATAATTTTTACTGGGTCTATTTTGTCACCTGGGAAAGTTTCCCAGGTATTTTGGTATTTCACGAGTCTCTGAGGACAATGGGTGTCACCATTACAATAATAAGCAGAAATTCAAATATATGCTACTATGACATTAAAGTTTATGGTTATTCAGTGAGTTGCCAGTGATCAAAACCAAAATGTCTGCATGGTCGGGTGGGGGGGGGTGTCCTCATCTCCAGCTGTTTTTAGGCTCAGAGCTGTGGGTGTTGATGTATTTTAGAGTTTTAGGAAAGAATATTGATTTTCTTTACTAGATTTCCTGGAGAGTTATGGATTCACAATCAATGCCCACATAGAAGAACCTTAATGCGCTGGAAATGGGTGCATGGTTGGGGGATTGTCCTCACCGCACCACTGTCTTCACTTAGTCAGGAGGGACTAAATACAGCAAGGCTGTTTTGTCTATCTTGTGGTAAGGAGATGTGGATTACTCCATCACAAGCAATGTACCCATCCCTCAGTGCAAAGACAAATCTCCTGAGAATCTCTCTAAGGAGATCAGTGATAGCATGCTTAGCATGTGCAAGGGGAAGAGGGGAGAGGAGGGGAGGGGAGGAGAGGGAAGGGGAGGAGAGGGAGGTAGGGGAAGGAAGGTTAATTCAGTCAGTGGGTTTGGGTGTGAGGTGAGAAATTCTGCATTTCTAACAATCTGCCAGGGGATGCTGGTCTTGCTGGAAGGCTGACTTGGAATAGGGAAAAACGTGGAGTGCTGATCACATTCTTTCTCTGGCAATGAGATGTGTAAGCCAGAAGCTGAAAACCCAGGTTCTTTCATTCAGTTTGATGTTGCACAGTTATGCAAAGAGAAAACTAAGTGAGCTATTATCTACTTGCATGAGATTATTATAAAGCTAGACCAGGTGTTGTAACAGGTCTCTTTAGTACCATAAAATGTTGTAGAGTTTAAGATAATCCTTACTTTGATTCTTTGATTTGAGCATTTTCTTTTCTATTTCCCTTTCATAAACAGTGAAAATCTGAAGGTTATTTTGTTTTTATAGCATCACTCCAGATTCCCCCGTTTATCTGTGCCTTCATTCTTTGAGTCAAGACATCGTTAGTCAACGATAAACAGCACACTTACTGAAAGTAAAAATAAGTATTTATTGTAGAAATTACTCACAAGAGACCAACAAGTAACCCAGGTGAGCCGAGTAGTTTTCTGCCGCTGAACTGGAAGATGGAAAAAGCCGGAAAAAGAGAGCTAGACTTCCGCTGTTCAGTCTTTTATACCTTCCTCCGTAAACGCCCCTAGCCATGCCCAAAAGTGGGCCTGGCTAGTGATGTAGTTCACCACCTATGTCCATATACATCTTTAATCATGCCTAAAGTGGGTGTGGTCAGTGGTGTGGTAAACCGCCCTTTTATTACCTCATCTGTATGCGCCTCTAATAAGTCACATGGTTAATGGCGGAACACTGTTTCCTCCTACAGAAGGTTGTTTTTTTTTTTATAGCATCACTCCAGATTCCCCCATTTATCTGTGCCTTCATCCTTTGAGTCAAGACACAATTATTTCTGCTTAATGTCCACTTATCCCTCTTCCTCCATGATTCTTACAACACTTTTCGGACCTGTGTGCTCCTGTAGGGAGAGTTCTTGTGTGTAGTTGCCTGTGGGAGCCTAAATGAAATGCGTCTCCTACTAGTTCACGTTATTCAGAGAGGTTCTAACATTCTTGTAGCCCCGGTTCTAACAGCTCTTAATACTAAAGGCCCCGAGTCAGGTATAGGGCTAAATGCTGAAAGATCAGAGAGATGAAGGAACAAACCATGGCCACACCTTACCTCCTCAACCTCCCAGCTGAAAAAGAGACTGAGCTCTGTCTCCTCTGGCCTACGTCCCTCTCTCTGCCCAGCCACCTCACTTCCTGTCTGTCTGTAGAGACCCGCAGACCTCTATGGTTCGATAGTGGTTAGCTCCGCCCTCTGACCTTCAGGCAAACTTATTTGTTATACAAACAAGATATCAAGGGTTGGCAATAGTTTCAAATAGCAGCTAGTGGGAGGAAAAAAAATTCTTTCCCTACCCTGAATAGAATTTTAATCTGATGCCTATTACTTATTCCCAACGCAGATATCTCCATTGGAGCTTCATTCAATTGCCTGGACTACTCACTGCCTGACAGCTGCTGCTGCATCCTCCAGCCCTCCTATTCTTCAGCGTCCCAGCAAAGCTCCTAATTTTCGGCAAAGCACATGCCACTTCCAGGCTAAAAGCGTGCGCTGGCCCTTATTCGGCACCTGCAATGGGATCAGCTTACCAGGTACTCAAGCTGTTGCTACATACCTCTCACAAGTGATTTCTATGATCCTTTTGTCAGTGACTATGGTTACACATCTTTCACCGGGTATACCCTTTTCCGTGCAGTTCTGCGCCTCTTTTTAAAGACTTGTCGTGTATGCCAATAGGCCGGTTCTTTTTTGAAGCATTCCTGACTCCTCTGCTCAGATTTGCCTGCTACCTTGCTCTCAACTTTTAACTCAATACTGCTCATCTATATTATGTCTGCATATGCTTTATTCTTGACAACTACTATGTAATTCTTGAGGATCTATAATGTCTTTAAAAAAAAACCCTCACCATGCCTTTTCATGAAAATCTCCATGTCTGTTTAAAAAAAAAACAAGTAAGCGGATAGCTTTAGGACTAACCTACAACTCAAGATGCTCAGAAACTTGAGAAATCCAAAACTATCTACTATTGTAAAAGCGTTGTATTACTTTATGTCTATGGGCGTTTTCTGCAGGACACATGTGTGCCGACCACCTGTGCGCGGTGCTCGCGGAAGTCGGAAGAGGGCATCAGGCCCACTCAGAGTTAGATGGCGTCGAGCTGCCGTGTGGATGACGTGGACCAAACCGGGGTCCTCTCTCTCTAAGAGCAGCAAGAGCTCTTAATCACTGAAACGCGTCTCTAGCCCCTCGCCGTTTTCTTGCCATTCACGATACTCTTTTGTGCTGTGGGTCCATCACTGGTAAGGTCAAGATGTTTTTAACCTTTAGGTTATGTGTTCTTGCTCCACGTTTTAGGACTTCTTTCTTCAGTCCATATGCCCATAGCCCAGTCTGGTGTCGGTTAGACTAAAGGTAAATTACCGGGGCTTCTGTTTATCCGTATACCCCTCTGACACCTTTGGAGCGCATAGAACACAAGCTCATGACAGACAATGGTTCCATTCTGAGTTACAGACGTTCACTGTAAAGCCAGAGTTTATCAATGTGCTAAGAAACCGCTGGTTTTTTTTTTTTTTTTTGCGATGGTGGTCTTTGTATCCGTTTAGGACAGCTTACGTGTGACTCTCCTTATTGACCTGCATTCACAGGAGAAACAAAGGGAGTAGAAACAGTTGAGCGGGGGTGGAGGGAGGTGGGGGTGGGGGGAAGAGCGTGCCTCGCCTGGTGACAGGGATTGTTGCCCAAGATGTTCTATGCCTTTGCTCACTTTACTTATGTCACAGGTATTCATCATTCAGCATGCAAACAAAGTTCAGAACCAGGAGATCTGGGGCAGTGGTCCCCACCGCGTTGTACAAGGTGATACCAAGGGAGGGGAACACCTGTTGATGTTTCTCATTTTAACAGATGCACATTTATGTTAGCATTCACCAGAAACAATATAATTGGCAAAGGACGTTTGTCACTTCTATAGTTATTCTTCCCTGAATCCACCTTTCCTTCTTATACGAACCCAAGCTTGAAAAGTGAGTACACTTAAAAAAGGACAAATATTAATTAACTGTAGGGTTGGTGCTGCTAACAACAATCATGATGGAGGTTTGTGGGGAGAGACTGGGATTGCGTGGCCGAGATCTCACTTCTGTCTCTGAGTACACACCTCTAGCCAGGTCTCGTTCTCTTGGTCCACTTCCTACCTGCAGAGGTGGTTAGGGTGTGGCCCTCACAGTCCCCCATCCAGCCACTCTTCTGTGGTGCTGTGCTGTCTTGTGAAATGCCACTATGAAGAATGGTAACCTCTGTAAAACAGTAGGAAGTATCCCAATCCTAACACAAAGACTCCTACCTAAAGCTGTCAGGAAATTGGGGGCATTATCTTAAGGTTAAAACACTCTAGTAACATATTATAGAAATTATCCCCGAAAGTAGAGATTTACAAGGATGACACCAACTGGCAAGCTAAGCAATAGTGGAGAGGCTTCCTTAAATGCCCCTCCCTGATAATGAGTTCCTTATATGCCATCCTAGAACCTTCAACCAATGACTAATGGAAGCAGAGGCAGACACCCACAGCTAAACACTGAACTGAATTCCTGGAACCCAGTGACTGAGAGGGAGGACTGATGAGCAAAGGGGTCAAGACTGGGCTTGCTTAACCCACAGAAACAGCTGACCTGAACAAGGGGGAGCTCTTGGACCCCCGACTGATGGCTGAGGCCAGCATGGCACTGATCCAGACCTCCTGAATGTGGGTGTCAGTGAGGAAGCCTAGGCGCTCTATGAGGTCTTGGGCAGTAGATCAGTATTTATCCCTGGCTTACCCATCCCACAAGGAGAGATGCTCTCTCAGCCTGGACTCCTGGGGGAGGGCCTAGGCCCTGCCCTGAACGAAATGACAGACTCTGGATATCCCCCATGGAGGGCCTCGTCCTACCTGGTGAACCGAGTAGGGATTGGGTGGGGGGCTGGAAGGGTTGGGGGGCATGGGGGGAGGGGAGGGATTGGGAGCTGGGATTGACATGTGAAGCAACCTTGTTTCTAATTTAAATTAAAAAAAAACCACTCTAGTAAGCTTTAGACGAGGAGGTAACTCTGATTTGGTTAGCCATATTACGTTTATGCAGTACTAGGGATGCCAGGGTACCTGTGGTGTCTCTCATCACTGCTGCAGCGAAACGGGTAATTTACTGTGCTATAGTCGCACGTGTTACTGTTTTCCCTACAGGAGAAGGAGAAGACTGAGTGTCCACGATAAAGCAAGTGGGGGATTTAAGTCAGTTTTTCACACCCAAAAAAAACACATAAAGACAAGTGTCAGGCGGAAAATCCGGATTCGCACTAGCTACCCCATGGGCTGGTATAGCTTTAAGATAACTGTAAACAGCAGACCTCGTTTTCCATTCTCACCCCGGGAATAATCAGCTACCCGTTTCCAGGGGCAGTCAATTCTGAGTCCAGGTTAGCTTTATGTTCTTTTTACTGAGCTGTCTTGTGCTAGTTCTCAACCGCTGGAGAGTGTAAAGTTCAGTACATCTCAGCTGTACACCAGAAATCATTCGGTCAAGGCAATAGCCACCAAAACGATACCCACGATCCGAGAATCAAATCACTTTTCCCTGAACGGAAATGATACTCACGATCCGAGAATCAAATCACTTTTCCCTGAACGGGAGTCACCGTCATTTTAGAGCGGGGGGGGGCAGCCTCGCGGGTACATGATGGTCTTCCGAGAGGCTTTCTATTATTGCTTCTGACCCAGCCAGATAACCAGGTAGGCTGGGAGGAAGGGGCATTTGATGATGGTTTATTAGCTCTGTGAGCATTGGAAGTAACTACTTTCGAAATGAAGGACTTTCTTTTCCCTATTTGGAATATGCTTATCACATCCATCTAGTTCAATAAACAAATGAACAAATACCAAGTAAATCAATATAATCTACTTTTCGTGTGTGTGTGTGTGTGTGTGTGTGTGTGTGTGTGTGTGTGTGTGTGTGTGTGTGATCTGCTTGTTATGAAAGGAAGGAGGGGAGGATGAGAGTCAGGAAGCGACTGAGGGCCAGAAGCCTCAAAGGCCTGACTTGCAGAGCCTAGGATACTTTGCATGAAGGTAGAAAACCAACCCTCTTGAGTACCAACTTCATTATCTGTTGCAGTTTCCAAGGGCCTTTGGAACGTGGCCCCACAGTTCCTAGCTTTTCTTTTTTCTTTCTTTTTTTATACATTGTTTGTCAAATATATCTACAGTCACGTTTGTTTCCGGGCACCCGGTTACAGTGAGTCTCTGGCATGCTGTCAAAGGGTGTGTCCGCGGGAGGGCAGGGAACTGCTCCTGGCTCGGGGTCGTCACTGCTGACTCAGCCTCCGGAGAAAGATGGCAGTCAGCCTCTGCCTGGCCTCGTTTACCGAAGATGCTCGGCCCCTGGAAGGATACCGCTGGGGAAGGGCGGGCAGCCCGGAGCTGCTGACCTTCTTGAGCTTATCTGGGGTTGGGGAAGCAGTGGGTTTTGGCAGTCCACGCAGGCTGGGTGTGTTGGCGCCTCGTCCGCAGCTCTGTCTCACGCTGCTGCTGCTCCGCTCCTGGTGATTACTGGCTGCGGTGGCAGGGTAGGTTAGGGTGCCCTTGTCGAGGGAACACGGTAAGCTTCCGCCACTCCTCCTGAGCTCCTGGAGCTGTTCTCTGGCTTGACTCAAAGCCTCTGTCAGTTCAAAGCGTTCTTCGCACTCTCTGCGCACTGTTTCCTGGAGAAAGGTGTTCTGAAAAGAGACAGGAGAAGCAACCCTGGCTTTAAACAGTTTGTGTAAGTGGAGAGTTGCTGACAACTTAAATCAGAACTGAACTGAAGGTCGGAGGGTTTAGTTCAACCCTTGCCATTTGTTAAGTGAGGTGGAATGACCCGTTCAGGGTTCCGGAGAAGGTGTGGTGGGGCCAAATCCAGACCCGAGGATGCTTACATCAGCGGGATTTCGACATGCTTGCCCAGTATGTTCCGATAGCCATCAAATACTATCTATAAAGTCATCATACGTTATTTTGTAATGAAAAGTATAGGCCAATACGTGAAGCAAACTGGTAAAATTATGAGATGGGAAAGAATAACAATACAGCAGCCACAGCATTTAAGCAGTAGTATTAGTTATTTATCAGACGCTTTCAACAGAACTGAAATATGCAGATCATGTGTCATTCTTCAGGATAATGTCCCCCAATAAAGAACATGCTTTTCTTTTAATACCAGCAGAGCTCTTTCATCAAGTTACTGTAAGCTGTGATGAATAGCGTGTATTAGTCAGCCTCACCTTACTGGGACGACTATCTGAGGCAATTAACTTTAAGGGGAGTGCATTTATTTTGGCTCATTGGTTCTGGAGGTAGCAAGATCAGACATCCCCTCTGTGTTGGGCCCTGGAGAGAGGGTGGTGCATCACAGCAGGGGTGCATGGTGCAGTCAGTCAAAAAAATATAAAAAAACAGAGGGAAGCCTGCCAGGATCCCACCGCCTGTTTCCGGTCCACACCCCTCCAGTGATGCAAGAACCTCACACAAGGCCAACATCTCAAAGACCCCAACACTTCCCAACAGCACCCTCTGGGGACTAACCCTTCAACACATGGGCTGGTGGGGCTCTCAATGTCCAACCTATAGCACAGCCACTCACTGAAGACGTTTGCAGTCTCATGAGGTTGAGCAGGATGCACTTCTATGTATCCGATGGAATTTGAACCCGAGAGTGGATGCTATGGTTTTAATAAGGATGGGCTTTTTGGTAGAATAATCTGGAGAAAAATAGAATCTCACGTGGTAGGAACATATTGACACAGATGTAAGCTTTAAATGGGATTGATTAGATCTCATGAAGGCTGCATCAAAGTCTGAGCATTCTGCATTTATTTTATGCTGAGGAATTCTCCGTTTCCACATACGGAGCTCATCACAATTCCTTCATTGGGTCTTGGATCTTCCCAATGTCTGGATATTGCAAAAATGCTATCCTCAGGCATAATGTAGCCATCATAATCAGAGCAAGTGTGATTACCCATACTAGATCCTAACAAGAGAGGGCCTATTGATGTTTCCTCATAGAAGGAGGGAGTAAGGAGGGTGGGTCATTAGGCTCTCACCCCATTAGCTGTAAATAACTCTGCTCCAGATGCCCATGGGCTCAAGAGGGGCTGGAGTATATGGTAGGGGAAGATTAATTGAAGTGTGTGTGTGTGTGTGTGTGTGTGTGTGTGTGTGTGTGTACACTAAATGTATGAAGCTTTGGGGAAGTCACCTACACTGGAGTAGAACTTTTTGGAGATGCAGCTGTTTTGGGGTTACCTACGCTCCTGCTAATAACAACACACCCATGTTCCCGTAAGTGAGCCCAATAGAACTATGGTTCAGCTAGCTCGGTTTGAGTTCATTTGACCTGTCATTGGTGGCCTATCTAAGGTGAACAAGTGTTAGCTCATGTCTTCCCAAGAAAAGTGTCGCAACACCTGACATTGCAGACCAGTGGGTCTGCTGACGGGGTGTGGGGAGGGCTAAGGAGGTGGTTCACTCACTATGTGCTTGCCACGCAATCATGATGACTTGAACTCAGTCCCCCAGCACCCATGGAAAAAGTCGGGGATGGCAAAACCTGTCTTGAATCCTAGTGCTGAGAAGGCAAAGACAGGCGGGTTGCTAGGGGCTCTGGGACCAGCTGGTCTGTCTGACCTGGTGACATCCAGGTTCAATGAAAGATCCTGTCTCAAAAAATAAGGTGTACAGTGATGGAGGAAGATACCCTACATTAACTTATGGACCAGATGGCTTCCATGCATGCATGTGCTTTCACACACATGCGCGCGTGCGCGCGCGCACGCGCGCACACACACACACACACACACACACACAACACACACACAATGAAAAGTCAGTCATTCAAAGTGGTGTCTTAAAAACAAACACACTTGAAGTAATTGTGCTCTTGGGATTATCCATCAGATCAGCCTGTAAAAATAGCCAAGGCATTTCCAAGTCTGACTCTTAGTGGAAAACATCCTCCCTGAGGGTTTACTGACTAATCTGCCATTGGTGGAACTAAATAAGAAATCATCAGGCTAAGTTCCATCTTCCTGCATTTGAGTTTCTCGTGATTATGGACAGAATTTTATTCAGTTATGAATTTTGTAATTAAAATATAAGATGGGCTGAGTATGGTGACACACACCTTTAATCCCAGCACTAGGGAGGCAGAGGCAGGCAGATCTCTGTGAGGACAGCCAGAACTACACAGAGAGACCCTGTCTTAAAAAACCAAAACCAACGACAACAAAGACTATGGAACAATTCCACATTGGCACAGTAATTTTTATTAAAGCCATTAGAATGTCTGGGTCAAAGGTCCTCATTTATATTTATATTACATACACACACGATCCTTGTTCACATATGTTTCTTAAGCCATTGGTCAATTATTTGCCTCTTCTTGTTTTTGGTTTTTAGAAGAATTGGAAACTATTGGCATTTAGGCTTTGTCATGTGGTTCTCATTAACTCCACCTGAAGAGTGGTTGGAAGCCGGGGTCAGGGAAGTATCAAGCTGCTTACAAGAAAGATTAATAAGGTGCTGTGTTAGGGCCATCACATTTACTGCTCTGGATATATTTACCAAGAGAAAGACACAGAGGGTTGGTTACGTAAGTCACCAAGAGCCACTCAACCCAGAAGTGAGAGAGCGGCCGCCTCCTAGCCATGTGCCTGTGGGAGTTGTCTACTTCATTATGGCAAGCATACATGTGCCTTTCGCGTCTAGGACATCAAGGTGCTGGAAACTAGTAAGACATCTCATCTGATTTTCCCGAGAATTCTAAACTCTATTAATCTAGCTTCTTTTTTGTTGTTGTTTTTTTTTGTTTGTTTGTTTGTTTTTCGAGACAGGGTTTCTCTGTTTTGTTTTGGAGGCTGTCGGTCCAGCCCAGCCTCGAACTCACAGAGATCCACCTGCCTCTGCCTCCCGAGTGCTGGGATTAAAGGCATGTGCCACCACCTCCAGGCTTAATCTGGCTTCTTTTAAAAAGAGAGAGCCCACTGCGTATTTATCGATGGGTGGTACTGATCTAGATATACAGTACTAGCTACCTATACACATTAAGAAAACTTAAGAAGGAGTCAGTTTTCTCTGAAACATAAAACAACAACAACAACAAAAACCACACACACACACACACACAAACCCATGGATAGCAATAAACAAGGAGGTAAACAAATCTGTGGTACAAAGGATAGTAGCAATAATGTGAAAAGATAAAGTGATGATAGGAGCTTTCACTAAAGAAAAATGAAATTCATCCAACCCCTAAACTTGAATTTGAGCCTCCAAAAAATAATACTCTATCTACAGAAAGTACACCAAAGGCAAGTGCCTTGCAAAAATGGTTTCAGGCAAGTGACGTGGGGGGATGAAAAGGCAGAGCAGGTGAGGCCGGAGTGTGGTGCCAGCGGACTCCAGGCTGTGCTTTCCCGCCCGCATGGGCTGAACCAATCATAGAGTTCTCAGATTGCACAGCCCGGCTCCTACTGGATACAGCCCGGCTTAGAGGGAGATCTGTGACTGGGGGGTAGGGAGGGGCTGCGGACTGTCTCAGTGTGAAGTCAGCCACTCTGCTGCTATGCTACTCATCCTTCAAGGCTGTTCTGCTTTTGGAACCAAGGATTAATCCTCTTTCTGTTGTTCCCGAACCAGGAGGACCTCTGAACTGAAAACAGGATCCACAGTCGGGGCGTTCATCTGTGCCAAAACCACTCCCATTTCTTAGGCGATATCCTAATACCCTCGTTTTTTCTTCTCTGATGACATCACAACTTCTTCCCCTAAACTGACGGTACAACACAGTTTTGCTCACAAGTGGTTTAGGCGTTACAGTTTATCTGGTCATATCGTAAAATATGGAGACAGAACAGTTGAAAGTTTAGGAAGTTGCTATTTCAGGAGTGGAGTGTGCCGGCATGATGGACATGTGGATGTGACTCGAGTCAGTAGACACATTAGTGGAAAATTCCATCACATGTGTAAAGAATCGTGGCCTGTGGCTATTAGGCAAGGAGTGTGGGCTGTGCAGACTCTTCCTTTGTTTGCTTTGTTTGGCGGACGGGGTCTCACTATGCAGTCCTGACTGGCCTGGAACTCAATGTACACCAGGCTGGGCTCTTATCTCACAGAGATCCTTTTGCCTCTGCCTCCCAAGGGCTGGGACTAAAGGCGTGTGCCACCATGACTGGCTGTTACAGACTTTTAATATTTATTTTTTTACTGAGTGACATGAGTAAAATCTGTAAGACAGAATATGCTCTATGGGGCTGAATATTACCAGTAAACATGAAAGTAATCCATGAAGCCACCGTCCTCTACATGTCATGGACAAAATTATCTTGGGCCACACGTACCATGGCGTGGTAAAGAAATATCACTGACGGCAACTGAACTGGAAGGCAAATGAGATGACAGGCTGGCACCAGGTGGAGAAGCTGAGATGGCATCGAGGGAGACACATCTCCAGGCATGGAACGTGGCTGCTGGAAGACTCGGGGTATGTAAACACAGAAGAGACCAGCATGGAGGCAGGAGGAAGTGAGCAGCTTTGATGAGGAGAGCTCTGGCCGCCTGTTATCACTGGAGTTCTTGCTTGGCTCCGAGAGGGCCATCTGGATCATGGGAAGACACTTCGAGCACAGTCACACAGGCGTGAAAAGAGGCTCTCTACGCCAGCTTCAAGAAAGACATTGTG